GCTGTGGAACCAACAATCGGACAATTTATACAAACTAAATTTATTCAGTTATGGATCTGATTCATTGAGAGTCTTGACTCAATTAAAATGGATTCCCTTTTGACAAGAAAGAGGTCGAGATCTCGTAAAGTATCGCGGAACGCGAGATGTGCCAAATTTGAATGAGACTTGGAAAACAAATTGGCACTAAATAGTGCTCTGCCCATATGGTGGCTGGCTGCCTGTTGTCATCATGAGCAACCATGGCCTTCTATCAGTTCCTTTCTAGTTGAAAAACAGAAAGGTGTGATGAGTATCAGAATACAGCCTTGCATTAAAGGCTCAAATACAAGACTATTTAGCCTCAGTCATATTTACTCTACAGCGGGCGTACGTCAGCCGTAGCTTCACAAAATCGATATATAAATAATAGAAAATCTCCATCGCAAGTGCTTATATATCCCTATATGCTGCATACTTCTCTCGATTTTGGGAAGCTACGTCAGTCGTACGCCCATTATAGTATCAGATGTGACTGAGGTATTAGAGGGACAGAGATTGACATGTTCTTAAATCCATCATAAATACATTATGAAGAGGGTAGCTGTATATCATGATAACCTGTTCACTGCAAAAGCACGTTTAAAACTAGCGCCAACGGCATTTCAAAACAAAATGGTGAATTTATAAAATATGCAGACTTATTAATCTATATATATTTGATATCTTACGTCAGACATAACTCAGAATATAAAAACACAAAAGGACAATTCTAATGTCAAGGGTATCAATGATATATACCAATGATAATATAGTGGTATCACGTCCATGTATTGAACGGACTCTCATTATACAATAGAGAATTTAGATATGACAGATATAATAACAGTATTTAAATGTTAAACTTGATAAGACAAATTGATTATGTGCTCTAATTTTGCATCCCATATTTGTCATTTATGAGAGAACTAACTGTAATTAATGTAAGAAATATTAGATTATCTCTCCTGATAATACGTGGGGACGTTCATTTGTCACGGTAAGACAGGGCCGCTGACCAGCAATAACCATCTTTAATAACGCTGACAAACTCTTACAAATTGTCAAGCACATTGAAGTGGCTACACTATCCTCCATATAGTTAACTTTGCAATGTTTTTCCATAAGGAGAATTGTATTTCCATAAGGCCATAAGGAGAAAGAGTAATGTGCATTCCTACGTGAACGTGGCCGGTTTCGATTCCCATCATGTCATCGCCAGATTTCCATTTTTATAGTGTGTCGATAAAGAAAGATCAGAGATATTGAAAAGCAAAATTATGACAAGATAGGCTGTAATCCTATCAAGTGTAATATCAATGATTTTATATGGCAAAAGAAATGATCAGGAGTATTATACAAACAGACAAGCCATCGATTATTCATCTTAATGTATTTATAAATTTTATTGGCTGAAATGAGTGAAGGCATGCATGCAGTGAGTTATTGTTATTAAACTGATTGGGCTCCTGGAAGATGAAACGAGTGCAGATTTCATCTCTGGGACCAAATTGCCGATTATTTTTATAGCTCAGCTATATCATGTGTACTATCTAAGGGATAATATAAAGACCCGAGTTATAACGATCATAACGTGTGTACGTCCTAATGATATCGTGGATACCAAAACAAAAAGTTTAGCAGACAAAATAGAGGGGTCAGCTATCCCTTTATAGTTACGATAAGTACTGCACCTACCCGTACACATATACAAAGACTCCCCTTCAAAAATTACTAAAAGAATCAACGTTCCTAGTCCCTATAAAAGAACCTATAGTAGATTAAGAATTTTTAAATCGGTTGTTGTAACTACTGATATCATGACGTCATAGTAAGAGAGCAATAGACTGTGCTTTTGATGACATGAAATAACATGATTGAACGCCAACGCCGTGTAAAAACATGTACAAAGGTTGCTTAGCCTCCTCACATTATTGGGAAATGAGAAACCCGTCGAGTCATTATAACGAAATATGGCACCCCGGGGACCCTTAAAACTAGGTTAATTGAAATCAAATTGTTGTGAAAATCGCAAAATCACGTTATAAGAGCTTTGTATTGTAGCTGATAGCGATATATTTTGGATAGTGTGTTTCTTTTCTGTTTGTGCCACTGTAAAGAAAGTATATACGTACATATCAATGCGTCGTTACACCATCCCCCACGTATATTATAGTTCGGCCTCGGTATATAGTTAACTTACCGTGAATGATAAAAGAAGAAACTGGAGAAACAATATGTACGTGCAAAGCAACATGTTTTAAAAGTTCATTGACATTAATATTTGTTTTTCATCTATCAAAATTCAAAACACTATATTCAGAAGGTTGTTTAACTTTGTGATTTCTCGTTGTCGATTCGGTTTGACGGATATTCAATATTTCACAGCCATGTCAATCAAAACGCCGACATCACACATGTTACTGTTTGTTTTACCCACTTTGAAAGATGAAAACATAATAAACCAATTACATAAAGCTACACAGAAATATAGAAATAAAATACACGATGATAATATATAGTAAAAATTTACTATGTATCACTGATGTACATATATTCATCGGAAACGGATTCAGATAATTCAATGAAACTGATAATAATCAAGAACGTCCGATAATTTCAGTGAAGAGGCTAATCTGTACTGATTGACCTTTTAACTCTAACATCAAAATATATATGTATGCTATAAATATCCACGATTGCTTAATCTACTGCTCTTATAATCAGTGTTTATAGGATTTTTATCAATATGATAGACTTGCTCATCAGTCCTGATGTTCCTCGTTCTGATAGGCCTAGTGATCACACGCTGTTTTCCAACTGGTTAGGACAGAATACTGCGATCGCTCACAATGATGCCCCTACAGTCAAGTTAACCGTTCACGTAATTGTTAACATGACTGTAACCAAATAAAGGATAATGTAAAGATTAAAATAATCCTCAATTTACAAATAAAGAGGGGAAAGAGGATTGGATAACAGTAAATTACTGAGTCTCATTTGGAAGTCTAAGTTGATATTCTTACGCTCAATTGTCGGACTTAAATCAATGTAGATACAATAGAGAAAATTACCCGGTAACTTGATCAATGGCAGAATTACTTCGAAAGTCTTATCATAATAGCCTGTATGGCTTTTAATACGAAGAACAGTCCAATGGACTTGATTTCGAAATATATTTAAGAATGCAGGAAGGCAAAGCTCAAAATGCACCAAGCAAGTGAGCTTAAATGTGTACATTATAACGATGGGCTTTGGTACCGTTTGAAAGCTGCTTTTCGTACTCACCAGTTGAAAGCACCAATTGTTGAAATCTCGTTTTTATAACTTTCTCTACTATTGGTATTAGGACAATAAGGTATTGTATTTTTGAGTGTATTAAGCTTTTCATGCTGTGTCTGATTGCTGAGATTGATTAGAAACATTTGACATTTTGTAGGATATCGTTTAGCACTACCCTTTCCGCCCCCTTTTAACTGATTACTAATATATAACAATTATAACATGACATCACTGTAGCAAAAAAATATACGATGTGCTTCCAAAAATAGGGATAAGTACAAAACATTTCAAAGCACTGTTTGTGCATTTATCGTATACGTTACCTTTTAGCTGTTTACTTCATATATTAAATCATATTGGTATAAATTTCAAATATAAAATATGATGAATAAAAAGGAAATGGATTTGTCGTAATAATTTAATGTGTGTGAATGAGAGCCGTTCTTAAGATGTATTTTAGAAGTGGGTTGTCCGTAAACAGCCACACCTGTAGAGGAATGATTTGTATATTATAAGTAATATAGGGGATCCACCACTCACATACAGCCACCCAAATCTATAAGTTTTGGAATTGAAGTTCTTGCTTTGACTATCAACCCCTGGAAACGTAGTGATGCTAATGTCTAAGTGATTACAAAGGTATCGAGTGAAATTTTCAACCGAAAACAACAGATAACATCCCAGTTTGACTGACTGCTATAGGATTTCATAATACCAACCACCAACCTCGAGCTACCATGACCCCGAATTTATCTCGTTTCACTTGCAGCTTTTACAAAAGCATATAATGTCAAAAGGGAAATTATTTGGTCGATTAATAGAGATTTTATACCCCGAAAAATAACACTAATATAATAGTAATGTGTTCAGTAAGACAGATACAAAAAGTGTAATAGTACGATTACGCTGTTTCGTATCTGGATAACGCAGTTGTTGAAATTAAACATTTGAATTGAATTGAGTTAGATATAGAGAGTACTATTAAAACATTTCGTAAAGCGTAAAAATAAATGCCTTTTGTCAATATGTACGTCTGAATTAATGATGATCCCAATCGAAGACCAAATATTATTTTACACTTTCCTTCCAATATTACGATACCTTAACGCTGATTTCCAAAAGGTTTGGACAGATTAGAACGTAGGTTGTTTGATAATTTCATGTGATGCCATTAGGACACATTGATGTCAGGTCAGTTTATGTTGTCATATTGTTGTTTTTGTGTCAGGACTGATCACTTGGTGTCAGTTTGTAGTTTCTGTGGCATGTCAAGTCAAGTCAAGTCACATGAAGCCGTAATTGAGGCCCTATTTTTTGAGATTCGAGGCCCAACATTTTTTTGCCCCAACCCCCTCTCCCTCTTGATTTTCAGGTCCGCCTTGGAACCGAGAACAAATTATTTTACTTTAGCCTATTAATCTGAACCACAGGATCAAATCCTATGCTAGGGGCGGATGTGAAAAAGTCACTCCACCCTGATAGATTGGATATAATTATCAAACTCAAAATGATAACATGAAAATTGATCTCCGGAATCTACCTATCATTCAAATTTAGAGGAACGTTTCTCCGCCTGCCATGTTATCTGACCCAAATTAGCCACCTGGTGGTGAAACCGGAACTACTCACAAGCATCTTGGTAATTGGCTCACAAGAAATGGTTCTTAACAATCGGAATAATATTTTGTTTCTGTTTGCAGGATGAAAAGAATCAGATCATCACAACTAACTGTTGGTTGAATCAGGTAGGTTGACTAGCTATAAATAAACATTTTCCTCAGTCTGAAATATTCTCTTTCAAAGTGTCTCCCTTCAATAAAAAAAAAACATTCCCCTTTAATACGGAATATCCTCCTTCAATACGAAATATCCTCCAATATAAAGTATCCTCCTCCAATACGAAACCTCCTTCAATATGAAGTACAAAATGCCTTCCTCCAATACATAATACAGGGTTCGTACACCTTTTTCAAAATGAATTTCCCTGACAATTCCCTGACATTTCCAGGCAAAAAAGGAAATTTCCAGATCTAATTTTACTCGCGCGCCCTCTAAAAAGTCTCAAACAACTGTATTATTCAAGACAAAAAGACTTATTTTGAAACATTTAGGGTTTCTCCTTCAGTACCATTTCTCATGACTTAACTACTCTTATTCACCAATTTATTCCTGATACATTTATTTTTTTTATTACATATTTTACATTGCATAAGGCCAAAGGTAAACATACATGTACAGGGGCATAGCCAACAAGTATCAAGGAGGTGCATCTTTTGGGGTTTGCATCACTGCGAGCGAAGGAAAACCAGAAGGGGGGTACGGGTATTTCCCTGACATTTCCAGGTGTGTACGAACCCTGTAATATCCTCCTCAATACGAAATAACCTCCTCTTATACAAAATATCCTCCTTCAATAAGACATATACCCCTTCAATATAACATACCCTCCTTCAATGGAAAATAGTAAAATACGAAATGCCCTTCTTCAATTCAGAGATGTTCTATTCTGCTCGGCAGTATGTAGCCTTTTGACTCTACAAAGTCGTCCGAATTGAACAAATGTCACCCTGGACAGGTTAAATTACCACATATCTATGGTATTTTAATTAAGTTTTATTAGATAAGTAAAGGCCCTTACATTTGTCAATTGACCAGCTACATTGATCAGTCTGTCAGTCATTACGAATATATTTACAATGTCCTCCCTTGTTTCATGCGTGGATAAATAAAATTCAACTGAATTCATTTTGTAGTTCTGGGTGGACTGGAAGTTAGCATGGAACCCTGACAAGTATGGGGGCATAAAAGTCATACGTATTCCATACGATGAGATCTGGAGACCAGATATCCTACTTTATAACAAGTGAGTCGTATTTTACAAATCTGGGTTTATTTTAAGGAATTATTATCTTACAATATAGGCACTAGCCTTGCCCAAGGCTGTGTCTTTTTATTTTTTGAATTTTATTTTGTATATAATTGAAAATCAAAATAAATAAAAGTTAATACAGACTTGGGCAAGACAATATAGGCACATATACCCCATGGACCTTCCATGTAGTTTTTTGCATTTTTATTGAAAAGTATCCATAAAAATAAACGCAACGGGGTTTGTTTGGGTAGACTGGCTTTACGTAACACTAGATGTGATATATGTAAAAATAAGTATGCTGTCCACAATGAGTGTAATAATTGTGCTATAATTACCATTTAAAAGATACTTCTGGCTCTAGAGAGACTTTAATTTAAATTTTGACACAATAATACCTCGTTTACGTTTACATGGTGTCAGATGTGAAATTATATCTGTGAATGTTTGCATTGTATTCTACCTTATCCCATGACTTCGTTTACTTTAATAACCACCCCCTTTATCTTATTAACGTTTGCTTTCTCCCTACATAGCCGCAATAAAACATATTGAATTACAATAATTTATCTTTAAAGAACAATTGGACAGATCTTCGAGTGTGATTTATTTTCATTTAATGATAGCATTTTTCTTTACTGATTGATTGTAGCGGGCAGAGTTGTATACCAATGTCACTTGATAGCTTCTATATTAGTAGATTCATTTGTAAAGTGACATTAAGTAGCGGATTATTACTTATTTAAGCTCGGTGATTTAGACGTACGAACGTCTGTATATTCCTGGATTAAATCCATGCATACAGAAAATATCAGACAAAAATACGTACGAGCAAAAACACGGGAATAAGAAAAGGAACGGCAACTGATATCCATCGTTAGAACCTGGTGCGAAAGAGAAAAAATGTCCCCCAAGAAAGATTGTCTTAGTTTGTTAGGATGATACACCCATACATACCTAAACCCAACTGTATATGACAATCACCATGTTAATAGACATGTACTGTGATAGAGGTACATGTACATGGACAATAAATACTGCATTTGCAAAAGTTGCAAAGCATTGTATTCAAGATCCATATAACAAATAAAAAATGATAAAAATATAGAATTGTAATACCATTGAAAATTTTGAACCAATTAAAGGTGGCTTTACGCCCAGAGACGGGGATACAGAAGGTCCGGAAAACGAGAGGTCGTGGGTTCGATCCTTACTGGGGTGGAATGACTTTTTCACACCAGCCCTAACGCAGATTTTCATTATGTGTCTTCATTACAAAGAAGATTAAGGTCCTTAAGGTTAAAACAATTATTTCTAAATTTTGATTTTCAATTGACCTTAAGATGAACACTCATTAATCATCTCGCACGTCGCACCTCGTTGTCCCACAGGAGTCAATATTAGGCCCCTTGCTCTTTCTAATATTCATTAATGACCTCCCAGATGACTTTGAAATAGATTACCATATAAAAAAATCTGTACTCCATGACGTTATGGATGAAGATGCAGGTGTATCATGGGCTTACTTACTATTCTGCCATGGTCAATCAACGACTCTAAGGTGCAATTTAATAATATGGGAAATTCATTAAAAAATTAATAGTTTTTTATTCGATTTATATGAAACAAAAAGTACAGAACAGCACAGAAACGATGAATGCACTGTGGCGATTTCAATCATTAGATTCCCAGGCATCACATTGCTAAGGGCCTATTGTACTGGGAAAATTAGAGTTGAAACAGAATCCGAACGAAACTAAGTTATTGTCCCTAGACATGATAACAACTTATTTATATTCTTAAAATATGATCAGCCATTTTAATTCGGCCTTCAAGCAGAAAAAACTCATTTCAAGAATAAGTAGTTTTGATACTTTAACAAACAAAATCATATAACTTACAGCGATTTTAGCGTTGATGAGTCATTTTTCCATTTATTTCACATTATCAAAATATATTTCATTAGCATGGCAATCTCCAAGACCCTGGGGTAACGTATTTCTCAAGTATTATTCCCGCTTGACTATTGTTTTGTCTGGTACAAAGTCGTTGATGTCATTAACATCTTCTGGTTTATGACACTTTTGATGGGAGACAACACTAATGGCAATATGAGTAAAAAGCAGAAAATAACATTACAGTAATAGAATGAGTCTCCCATCAACGTCCAAGGCTACTACACATGTAACAACGCGTTAAAAATAATGTTTATTCTATAGCGTAGTTTTAATTTTCACGTTTTGATGGCCTACGGTATAACCTGCCCAATGAATCCGTTTCGTGGGTTCCGACAATAGACTCATGAATCATAAGAGATAGTACCCCCCCCCCCTGATAAGCTATTACAAATGGATTCCGAAAAGTGTGGCCATAAAAACTCCTGAAAGTGAAAACTATGAAACACATCAAGGACACGGTTGAAGTTCAAACAAAGCTGACATATTTCCAGGTCGATATGACATAGATCAGTCATGCATTATTGCAAATGGTATATGACAACTGTAACATAAGTCAAAATGTCACAACCTGATTGCAATTACAAAAGTGAAACAATTGTTACAGACGCCGAAGGCCAGTCATAGAAAACTGTGGATAAAAGAGGATGTCACCATTCAATAGTTGTGACAAAAACATCAGATAAGTGATGTCAGGAAATGATGAGCTGATCACTGGCGTTGGATTCATACAATGTGGCCAAACGCTACAACAAGCAATGTCGTAATACTAGTATATTAAAATCCTGCAAAATTTAGTATCCATGCTAATGCTATAATCATAAGCATCTACAGAAACACGGTTCCAGATATTCAACAACTAATGTTAAATAAAAATCAAGATGAAAAATCATTTTCTCTAAATAAGCGTTGTAATATGTTCAGGCGTCATCTTCGACTTCAAATGTGGTATAACAAGCTACTGAAACCTGTAAATCAAGATGTTCAAGAGTGGTCGGTTCAAACCTCAAAAAAGGAAAACAACGGTTTTGTCTCTATTCTCATCCTAAGGGAGTTTACCGTCAACAATATAAATGAATGATCTAAGTTTCAAGCTTAATCAATGTCCTATTAAAGTAGCCAGTTCTAGTGCTCCCTTGTTAGTTGATAATGTTTTACGAGCTTCAAGAGCATCAATTCCATATCAATGACTTATCCGATTTACAAGTGAAGACGGATCTGTTTACTCCACTTTGTTTCCCAAAGCAATATCATCTGAACTGACGTCTCCATCTCGATTTTAGGGAGCTGTCATAATAATTAAAATGTCCAGTTTAATCTCATCCTGGTTAGTCTAAGTACAGAGTGAGCCAAAAGGGTAACCCAAACGCTCAAACAATTGGGTTACCGTTTTGGCTCATCCTGTAGTTTATATGAGTGAAGGAATACATTCGTTTATAGTCCCCCCCCCCCTTTATCCTTCTCTCTCGTCTGTATATTGCCATGGCCAGGTAAAGAGAATGAAGGTGACGGGGGTGTGGATGGAGTCTTTGACTAACTGGTTTAACAGTATGGTTTATCCTCCCGTCGTTGATTTTACAATTAAAACACTAAAAATGATTAGTTTAAGGTGGAACATATGTGATGCCTACTTTGTAAAAAGGTCCCTGAAGGTCTCTATATAGTCAAGGTTATATGGCAAAATATTTCAGTTCTAATTAATTTGGACACCTTAATCTTGAACAACTTTATTTGCTCTGATATCTTCATTCTTGTTCAGATCATGTAATAAAACTTAAAAAGATTACGGTCCAGATTTAACCACGTAAAAGAAAGAAAATAATCTCAAGGGAACAGTTAAATATGTTACATTGGATTCTAATCTTGAGCACTCTAAAACGAACTTTGGTAATTTACTCAATGTTGGAAACACTAAATTGAAGATTGTCTCTCGTATCACCCTACTCATGGTTGCGTAGGCGATTAACACTAATGATTTGCAATATAAAGGAAATATCTTTACGAACGACTTTTAAAGAAGTCACAAAAAGGAGGTTACATAAGATTGGTTTTTCAGTGAAATCGATATTATTCTCTATTTCGAGACAATAGTGTTAGACTAATGGCATTTATCCAACTTCACAAACGGCATCAGTCTCTTATGAATAACAAGCATAAATGACTCCCTTAACCCTAAAAGGCCCAGGAGGTCGAATTGTGCCAAAGCTCTATTGCCTACTTTTTCCAATAGTTGCTTCTTTAAAACAGAGGGGTGGGCATATTTGAAGTCTGAAAAGGCACATTTTCCTGATTATTTGGCGAAAAATTTAAAAAATAAGGCCTTACAAGGCCCATTTGTGCCCAAAAAGACCAATTTAACGGGCCTTTAAAAAGTTTTGGGCCCAAAATTTTTTGTTGGGCCCAATTTAGTGGCTCTGACACTCATGTTTATAAGGAAAAGTATCGCTTTTATTTTTAAAATCATATGCTCGGATAACCGTCCAATAACCATTATGTTAAAATTCCTATTGGACCTTTAAAATGCACAATCTAAAACTCGAAAATCTATTCATTCACTATCACCGAACGTAAGTTCCATAATAAAATATATAATTCATAAATTACTCTTGTTCAGTGGCGAGGATTAACTCGTAAAACAAGTCATTAACTCAATGAATCTGTCGACGAAGCCTGAAGTTCGTAACGATGATTAAGGGCTTCTACGCTGTTGGAAATTAATAAATCTTGCTTTTATTGTTTTCTTTCTTTTGGTGGAACTGCCGAGTCTCAGTCGAAGCCGATGACAGATCAATAGACTCCACAATGAATTCCTTCAAAGAGACCTCAATACTCAGTTTAGTTAAGCTGTCTATTATAACACTGTAATTGCACAGAGGGAAATCGCAGATTTTCATTATGTGTCTTCATTACACAGAAGGTTAAGGTCCTTAAGGTTAAAACAATTATTTCTAAATTTTGATTTTCAATTGGACTTAAGATGAACACTCATCAATCATCTCGCATGTCGCACCTCGTCCCACAGGAGTCAATATTAGGCCCCTTGCTCTTTCTAATATTCATTAATGACCTCCCAGATGACTTTAAAATAGATTACCATATAAAAAAATCTCGCATGTGTATTCCATGACGTTATGGATGAAGATGCAGGTGTGTCACAGACTTACTAACTCTTCTGCTATGGTCAATCAACGACTCTAAGGTGCAATTTAATAATATGGGAAATTCATTAAAAAATTAATAGTTTTTTATTCGATTTATATGAAACAAAAAGTACAGAACAGCACAGAAACGATGAATGTACTATGGCGATTTCAATCATTAGATTCCCAGGCATCACATTGCTAAGGGCCTATTGTACTGGGAAAATTAGAGTTGAAACAGAATCCGAACGAGACTAAGGTTATTGTCCCTAGACATGATAGCAACTTATTTATATTCTTAAAATATGATCAGCCATTTTAATTCGGCCTTCAAGCAGAAAAAACTCGTTTCAAGAATAAGTAGTTTTGATACTTTAACAAACAAAATCATATAACTTACAGCGATTTTAGCGTTGATGTGCCCTTTTTCCATTTATTTCACATTATCAAAATATATTTCATTAGCATGGCAATCTTCAAGACCCTGGGGTAACGTATTTCTCAAGTATTATTCCCGCTTGACTATCGTTGTGTCTGGTACAAAGTCGTTGATGTCATTAACAACTTCTGGTTTATGACACTTTTGATGAGAGACAACACTTATGGCAATATAAGTAAAAAGCACAAAATAACATTACAGTAATATAATGAGTCTCCCATCAGCGGCCATGGCTACTACACATGTAACAACGCATTAAAAATAATGTTCTCATTGCTCTCACTACTACTATTCTGACTACGCTATATTAGTTTTAATTTTGACGTTTCGATGGCCATAACTAACCAAATGAATATGTTTGGTGGGTTCAAACAATAGACTCAAGAATCATAAGAGCTAGTACCCCCCCCCCCCCCCCTGATAAGCTATTACAAATGGTGGCCATAAAAACTCCTGAAAGTGACAAAGAAAACTATAAAACACATCAAGGACATAGTTGAAGTTCAAACAAAGCTGACATACTTCGAGGTCGATGTGACATAGATCAGTCATGCATCATTACAAATGGTATATGCCAACTGTAACACAAGTCAAAATGTCACAACCTGATTGCAATTACAAAAGTGAAATAATTGTTACAGACGCCGAAGGCCAGTTATAGAAAACTGTGGATAAAAGAGGATGTCACCATTTCATAGTTGTGACAAAAACATCAGATAAGTGATGTCAGGAAATGATGAGCTGATCACTGGCGTTGGATTCATACAATGTGGCCAAACGCTACAAGCAATGTCGTAATACTAGTATATTAAAATCCTGCAAAATTTAGTATCCATGCTAATGCTATAATCATAAGCATCTACAGAAACACGGTTCCAGCTATTCAACAACTAATGTTAAATAAAAATCAAGATGAAAAATCATTTTCTCTAAATAAGCGTTGTAATATGTTCAGGCATCATCTTCTACTTCCAATGTGTTATAACAAGCTACTGAAACCTGTAAATCAAGATGATCAAGAGTGGTCGGTTCAAACCTCAAAAAGGAAGACAACGGTTTTGTCTCTATTCTAATTCTAAGGGAGTTTACCGTCAACAATATAAATGAATGATCTAAGTTTCAAGCTTAATCAATGTCCTATTAATGTAGCCAGTTCTAGTGCTCCCTTGTTAGTTGATAATGTTTTACGAGCTTCAAGAGCATCAATTCCATATCAATGACTTATCCGATTTACAAGTGTAGACGAAACTGTTTACTCCACTACTTTGTTTCCCAAAGAAATATCATCTGAACTGACGTCTCCATCTGATTTTAGGGAGCTGTCATAATAATTAAAATGTCCAGTTTAATCTCATCCTGGTTAGTCTAAGTACAGAGTGAGCCAAAAAGGTAATCCAAACGACCAAACAATTGGGTTATCTTTTTGGCTCATCCTGTAGTTTATATAAGTGAAGGAATACACTGGTTTAACAGTATGGTTTATCCCCCAGTCGTTGATTTTACAATTAAAAACAATTAAAACACTAAAATGATTAGTTTAAGGTGGAACATATGTGATGCCTACTTTGTAAAAAAGGTCTCTGAAGGTCTCTATATACTCGAGGTTATATGGCAAAATATTTCAGTTCTAATTAATTTGGACACCTTAATCTTTAACAACTTTATTTGCTCTGATATCTTCATCCTTGTTCAGATCATGTAATAAAACTTAAAAAGATTACGGTCCAGATTTAACCACGTAAAAGAAAGAAAATAATCCCAAGGGAACAGTTAAATATGTTACATTGGATTCTAATCTTGAGCACTCTAAAACGAACTTTGGTAATTTACTCAATGTTGGAAACACTAAATTGAAGATTGTCTCTCGTGTCACTCTGCTCATGGTTAGCGTATAGTAGGCGATTAACACTAATGATTTGCAATATAAAGGAAATATCTTTACGAATGACTTTTAAAGAAGTCACAAAAAGGAGGTTACATAAGATTGGTTTTTCAGTGAAATCGATATTATTCTCTATTTCGAGACAATAGTTTTAGACTAATGGCATTTATCCAACTACACATACGGCATCCCTATTTTTGTTGTCTCTTATGAATAACAAGCATAAATGACTCCCTTAACCCTAAAAGGCCCAGGAGGTCGAATTGTGCCAAAGCTCTATTGCCTACTTTTTCCAATAGTTGCTTCTTTAAAACAGAGGGGTGGGCATATTTGAAGTCTGAAAACGCCCATTTTCCTGATTATTTGGCGTAAAATTAAAAAATAAGGCCTTACAAGGCCCATTTGTGCCCCAAAAGACCAATTTAACGGGCCTTTAAAAGTTTTGGGCCCAATTTTTTTGTTGGGCCCAATTTAGTGGCTCTGACACTCATGTTTATAAGGAAAAGTATCGCTTTTATTTTTAAAATCATATGCTCGGATAACCGTCCAATAACCATTATGTTAAAATTCCTATTGGACCTTTAAAATGCACAATCTAAAACTCGAAAATCTATTCATTCACTATCACCGAACGTAAGTTCCATAATAAAATATATAATTCATAAATTACTCTTGTTCAGTGGCGAGGATTAACTCGTAAAACAAGTCATTAACTCAATGAATCTGTCGACGAAGCCTGAAGTTCGTAACGATGATTAAGGGCTTCTACGCTGTTGGAAATTAATAAATCTTGCTTTTATTGTTTTCTTTCTTTTGGTGGAACTGCCGAGTCTCAGTCGAAGCCGATGACAGATCAATAGACTCCACAATGAATTCCTTCAAAGAGACCTCAATACTCCGTTTAGTTAAGCTGTCTATTATAACACTGTAATTGCACAGAGGGAAATTCCAATCACAATTTCAAAGGGGAATCACTGTCTTTAGATTAACTAAACAAATGCTGTAATGAGAGTGAGCGTGTGGGGAGACTCATCTAATACCCTCGGAAACAATGATATATACATCATCTGTAATTCCCTAATACTACGTACACATAGATGTTCTTTCCTAGCAGTACAACCACCATCAATGTTCCATTTACTCATGCCCCCCTTTATCAGTTTATAATATGCGTGGCGTGTACTGACTCATGATCTGAAGTTTGTAATATGAAGGATGGTAAGGTTGAATTTCCGATTGATTTACATCCTCCTCTAGCGTTCAGATTCCGTGACTCGGCGCCTCCTTCACAATTCTTCAAAGCTATCAATCAGGACATTGTCTAGTCTCCTGATGTATCTTTGCATATTAAACCACTTACAAATAGACGTCGTTATTTCAGCAGTCCTCGAAAGGAAAATCTGTTTAGCTATTCTTGTTGTCTTCTTTTACAGCTTCATTGTTATACCTGACCTAACTCATTTCTTATCCCTCCATCTCTTTGTATATGTCTCCAATTGGACAGTGAACCCCCAAGCAGTATGACAAGCTTCATCTCTTGTTCTCTCTGTATTCCTCTCTCTCATCTCTAGACCCTACTCGTTATCTCAATCTCTTTGTCCCCTACCCTCTTCTTATCTATATGTCCCTACTCCTTACCTTAATCTTTTTCATCTCTTCCACTCTTTCCTCTAACCTATTTGTCCCTTCTTCATCTTTTGATCTCTCTTCATCCCATCCATTCTTTAATCTAATCTTTATCTGTTCTCAATCTCTTGATCAATTTGTATCTCCTTCCCTCTTATCAAACCTCTGTACCGCCTCTACCTTCCCAATGTATACTAGATGATTTCTCCTTGTTAGTCCCCATGCTCCTTGTAATGGAATTGTCCCAAAGCATTATTGCTATTGTATAAGCTTACTATGCATTTCACTTTTCAGTTTTCTCGTTTACTGATTGCTATAAGTTATGATTTTATATTTCAGTGCTGATGTCTCCTCATACAGAGCGTCCATCAGTACCAACGTGATGGTCGACAATCATGGCAATGTCACCTGGCTTAGTATGGTTATCTTTAAGAGCTCATGTGCAGTTGATGTGCGCTATTTCCCATTTGACGAACAAAAGTGTAAGCTTGTATTTGCATCTTGGACATATGATGGCTATCAAGTGAATCTACTCAAAGTTGGTGAAAAGGGGGATATATCTAATTACATTCCAAACAGTGAATGGCAGTTATTGAATTTACACGCTGTACGGAATTTAGTTTACTATTCGTGCTGTCCAGAACCTTACCCCGATGTCACCTACACTATTGAGATTCGTCGCAAGCCACTTTTCTACGTATTCAACATGATAATGCCATGTATATTAATCACATTTGTGGCACTTTTGGGATTTTATGTGCCGTCTGATTCGGGTGAGAAAGTAACAATGGGAATTACTACACTGCTATCAATGACTGTCTTCCTAATGCTAGTAGCAGAGAGTATGCCACCAACATCAACGGTTCTTCCACTAATAGGTATGTATGCCCAAGTCCCAAAAGGGAGATAAACAGTATTACAAAATAAAGACCTTATCTGCGTAAATGTAAAATAACCTTATATGAGTAAATGTACATGAACACAAAAATCTTATTTAGGTAAATGTCCATGAACAAAACTATCTTGAGTAAATGTAGCATGAAATATTTGAGAACTTTATCTGAGTTAATGTACTTGAATATAAATATCTTATCTGAATAAATGTAATGAATAGAAATACGTTGTCTGAGTAAATGTATTTGAGTAAAATGATAATATCTGAGTTAATGTACATGAACATAAATACTTTATCTGAGTAAATGCTCATGAACATAAATACTTTATCTGAGTAAATTTACATGAACATAAATACTTTATCTGAGAAAATGTACATTAACATAAATACTTTATCATAGTAAATGTACATGAACATAAATACTTTATCTGAGAACATAAATACTTTATCTGAGAAAATGTACATTAACACAAATACTTTATCATAGTAAATGTACATGAACATAAATACTTTATCTGAGTAAATTTGCATGAACATGTAAACCTTATATCTGAGTAAATGCACATGAACATAAATACTTTATCTGAGTAAATTCACATGAACATAAATACTTTATCTGAGTAAATGTACATTAACATAAATACATTATCTGAGTAAATTCACATGAACATAAATACTTTATCTGGGGAAAATGTACATTAACACAAATACTTTATCATAGTAAATGTACATGAACATAAATACTTTATCATAGTAAATGTACATGAACATAAATACTTTATCATAGTAAATGTACATGAACATAAATACCTTATCATAGTAAATGTACATGAATACAAACACTTAACCTGTGTAAATGTTCAATGAAATAAATGAAATTATCTGATTCAATGTTATATAAACTAAGATAAAGACATTATAAATGTAAGTAAATATACATAACCATTGTCTCCAGTCTTATTAATCTGACATGCATATTTATCTTTGCTTGCAGGATTGTACTACGGGATAACTATAGCAATTGTGTCATTTGCAACTGCAATGACTGTTCTTACATTGAACATACATCACAAAGGGTTGAGGGGGAAGGAGGTGCCTCCAATGATGAAAAAGATATTTTTTGGTATCATTGCCAAAGTTTTGTGTATCAAACTAGAGCCTATGCCAGACCTAACACTGCCAGTAGACACTGTGCAACATGTAAGTAATTATACCAGATATTTCATCTTTGGTTTCAAAAATATTATGAACATTTTATCCTTGTATGCATACAGGAGATTTGCCTGTTACCAAAACTTTCTTTACATTGATTTTAACTGCTTCATCTGGAAAGAATATACTTAGTTCAAAATATCTCTCCATAGGGTTCAACTTTTGCATGTAATTCTAGTTTTCTTTAATCTTAAGTATGAAAAATGAGTAACTTATCTTGAAGCTTGTCTCCGATGGATATGCAAACAAAAATTTAATTCAAAATTAATCTATGCTTTGACATTTTGATATAATTTTCATATGAAAATTTCTTGGAGATGCGTGCATTGTTTGTTTGTTACATTCCCAAAATTGTTATTGTTTACTTTTTTCATTCCCAAAAGTGATTGATCAGATCAGCGAATGTATGATGGGCTGATTCTTTTTGTTCATTTAAAATTCAATAATGCACATGCCCAAAATATGTAGTATACGTCCAGGAAAATAGGCATGCACATGGTATTTTGAGGGGCCGGGTCAATATTTCAGTTTTGTCCCAAAACATTCTACAGGGTGGCCCAAAAGACAGAACCCATAAATCGGTTGTGCTGAATAAATGGTTCTGCTTTTTTGGGTTACCTTCAATTTCATTTCAGATTGATCTCCACTCACCCCTTTGTTCCCTCCCAGAATAATGAAATTGATAGTTTGTTGAATATATAAAAGTTAGTAGGTAACCTTAAAAAGGGAAATGGACTTCCCAAATGCAAGTAATGTTTATATTGTGGGATAACATTGATATATTGACCTTATCCCTGGCACACTATTTCCTGAATCATTTTAGTATTTTGCCCAATAAAGAAGTTTATCAACGATTACTGAGGCACACCACTATTTCTAGCTAGAGTATTTATATCCTCAATTAAAATCTTTTTTAAGATGCACCATCGGAACAAAAATTATTTTTTCTGACAAATCAAAGTCTAATTTTTGTTTTTCCAACCATGTTTTGAATATACAAGTACAACCAGGAAAAGGTCTTATCCAAACCTAAAACATATGTACATCAAAGCATCGGAACGGAACATTTTGGGGTGAAAAGGTTAAGGTAACTTTCACTCCCTCCCCTCCCCGTTTTGATATCTAATGGTTGTTTACAAAATAAAGATTTTCCAAAAACCCATACCTGAAATCATTTAACTCACACAAAGAGACGCAATCAGTTATCATCAACCAGTTGACCCAACATGAAAACATGGACGTGAAACAGTACACCAAAATTGAGAAAATAAACAATATTATCTAGTTTGCAAATTAGATCTGTCCAGTGATTAGAGTGACTGTCCAAGATCTACTCCAATAAAATACATTGTCAGAAATTCTGATTAATCAGACCCTTTATAAATTAAGTATGCTGGGAACCTATTTACCCTTTTTATACCAAAATCAGATGAACACCAAGAAAACTACATTTGAGGTCATAAATCATAAATTCCAAACTATCTGTAAGATTGTCTATCCTACTGAGAGGGTAGTTATTACTAACCCACTTGAGAGTATTTCCTAAAAGGGTTAGTGCCACATGTGTATCATGATATATGAAATAAATGGCACTACTTTTGAAGGCATAAAACTCTGTAACTTCAATTGGTAGCTCAATGACACAAGCCCATCCGAAAGGGGCGGAGGCATTTGAGACACCCACCCCCTCGCCCTCTCCAAAAATAATTTTTCAGAGATTTATATTTAATTATGCAAATATGGCTCTCATATATGCTCAGAATGTACATGTACCAGACATTTGAGGTCATCAAACTGTTTGTTAAATTGTCTACCTACTAAAGAGGGTAATTAGTACCATGGTCATCATAATTTCTCTTGGTAAATCCTTAAGACAGACCTGTGACATACATAGATTAACTAAGGCTAGATTAAGAAATATCTCATTCAAAGATGACAAGAAACTGATCAAATTATTGAAAAGGGTAATGAGACCATTTCTTGTCTTTTTCTCATCTGCGATAGATGACTTGCCAGTATGATATAATAAAATACAACAATCTCTCTTACAGTACAATAATCAGGTTATTGTATTACATTATTTTAATGCATTGTATTGTATTGCATTATATTGTATTATTTCAGACTGGCAAAGATTTAGCAATCAAGGTGTCCATATATTTTCATGACCTGTAGATACAAAGCAAAAAGTGGATATTCCTGTTAATAACAAAGAATATAATTGAAGATAATATACAAGATTTACTCTTTCGGGATAATATCAGCATTTACAGGAATCTTTCAAATTAACTATTGTTCCGCTTTGGGATTTACATCCTTATGACTGCCACAAATGCATATTAAAGGCTGTTTATGCTTTTAATATCCCAGTTCCCTAATTGCATCATGAGATTTGTTTGTTAATAATTCCCTTTGTGATTCAGATACAATGATGACTGTGAAGACTAATTGTGTTTTGTATTGTTTTGTGAAACACCTCCTGTTTTCAGTTAAACTCCAAATGGATTTCCAATTGTGCCATTGTTTCTGCCCTTTCTTATTAATCGTATTCAATTCAAAGGTGGACTCACCATTATTTAGAAGTGTGAGGAAAATATGAAAGGGGATCCATAGAATAAGTACCTGTTACCCCATCTCTAGCCTTGCCCAAGTCGGTATTTTTAATATTCTGATCTTGAACAAGATAAGTAAAAGAGACCGTCTTGGGCAAGGATAACCAATCTCAGAAGCCTGCTAAATTGGTGTTTCAGAGGTTTGGAAGAATCCTCCCCATTCAATGTGCGGGACAAATACATTTTGTCAAATTCCTCACAATTTTTAACCTGAAATATAAAAATGTTTTTTTGGGGTATTAAAGTGTGCCTTTTTCAGAAGGTGGGTCTCAATTTTTGAAATATAAATGAGTCAAAATGTTATAAATATTAGGACTAAGATATTCATAGTAAGGGCCAGATTTTTAACTGAAGAGATTTTCCCAAGAGATGTGAAAAGCTACCCTCATCACTCTAAAAAAGCGTGTACAGGTATCTATCTCTCACTTTCAAAACTTCGAATTTAAAGTAATATCTAACGGTGTCTGAGAAAACTGTCCCAGTATTGTGCTGTATTATTGGGAGGGCTACCTCTTCAGGTTTTACCACATTATTTTCAAATCAATCCCCTTACTTAACCCTGATTCAAATATGAAATTCGCTAATTTACATTACCTCTATTAAAAAGAGCAATGACAAAAAAAGCATATTTTTGTTCACTGTTGTATTACAGTATTATACAGAATTATTTACAAACAATTGTTATGTAAATGTTACAGTTATGTTTTGTTTCTTTCTTTGACTGCATAATTTCTTCTCAGTTCATTTATTTATCTTTGTAGTTAGATGATGTTTAATCTTCATTTTCACTGTTTTGGAAATCCAAGCCTTTTCTCAGAACTATAGAATTCCTTGACCATTTTAGGTATCTTATTTTTAAGCAATTCTGAAATTCACTGACTTTTGACTTTTCCTTGACTGCCAAATGCCAAACACTGTCCACTAATAAGTTGGAGACTATAACCCAGAAATGCTGACATAAAAAATCAATGAACCCATTATATTCTTCTAATGTTTTTTAAATCAATATGAAGCTAAGACAATCACCCCATCAAGCTACTATACTTAACGTTTTCAAGTGTAGGAATTGACTCTTAATTAATATAGGATACTACATATAGTATATACAATGTCCCTAATTCACAGGTGTCGTGCAATCTGTTCAGTTTCGATATTGTATCTTTATCATGAAATGTTCTCTGTTCTTTCATCAAGTGTCATTTCACTGCTCCTGTTACACACTTATGTATTGATGTAAATGGTGTTTTAATTGTGTGAATAAATTACAAGTATATGTATAGATTTTCAAAATAAGATAAAGATAGCAACTTTTACAAAAATGTTTCATTCAGTTCAGTATCTTATTGTCTTATACCATTCCCTCTCATGCGTACCATAATAAAGTATTATCTAAACAAGGGATTATAACATACAAAATGTCACTACCTGCCATTTGTTACACATGCTGACTACCAAACACTGTCCACAAAAAAGTTGGGGAGACTATAACAACCACTTTTGGTGATGAGATAAAAGCCATTCCTCATTCGAGGAAACATTCTATTTTCTGTTCAAAAACAATTATTTGGGAGTTTAATAAAATCTAAATGCCAACCTATGTATGACCAATCACCCATACAAATGTATCGCTTAATTTTCCGTTCACGTTTAGATTGTGAAAAAACATTGCAAGCTTAAACTCAGTATTATTTTGGACTGACTGGTATCGAAAACCAAATAATGTCAAATTCTGCACTTGTGAATTCTTCAGTTACTTTATCACAGATCTTTTAGAGGTTATTTTATTTTAAATAGAAAAAACACATTGGTCAGAAAACATTAAACGTTGCTTGCAATTTTTGAGCCCTGGGCCAGATATCTCTTACTTTTCCAATTGTTTGATTTTCCCTTAAAAGAGAGTTTCATCTCTCAGTGTACTAAACTTTGACCTTTGACCTTACTATATTTCTGCTTCTTGCTTGAACTTGAAAGCTTTAAAGGAAAATGAATAATGAAGCACATTACAAAATACAATTTTTCTCTTGCAGACAAGCTTATTTCATTCCATTAATCTGTCTCTATTGATTTCCATTATGAATACACAACATGTCAAGGTTAGTGATTAATATGTGTTAAATTAAAACATATATATGCGTACACTCCTCTTCAAAAGTCTGGAAACCAGAAGGAATTTTTTTATCGAGAGTTTTTGATAATGTACACTTCACATAAGAAAGAAACAATCTTAAGAATATCTAATTTTGAACTTATCACATAAAAATAATTCAAATTAAATTTCTTGTATATTCCTTATTTCAACAGTTTAATTGACTTTACCATTCAAATGACAAGAATAACTCTAACCTATTGTAATAAATAAGTGAGTTGAAGTACCTAGACTCCCCCTAGGATATGGGAATAGGGGCCAAAAGACTCATTATTACACTTCATACTTGTGACATTATAGTGACATGACATGACAGACATCCCTAGCAACCTGTATTTATATTACCAGAGTGGGATGACAGAATTCTCTAACACCCTGTATCCATAGATACCAGATTGGAGTGACAGACTTCTACGACACCCTGTATCTGTTATAATAAAGTGGGATGACAGAATTCCCTAACACCTTGTATCTGATATATCAGAGTGGGGTGCCAGACTTCTACGACACCCTGTATCTGCTATACTAGAGTACGATGACAGACTTCTTAAACACCCTGTATCTGTTATACCAGAATTGGGTGATAGACTTCTATAACACCCTGAATCTGCTATACCAATGTGAGGTGACAGACTCCTTGATTGAATACCCTTCGAGGTCATAGACTTCTGAAACACCTTGTATCTGCTATACGAGAGTGCGATTACAGACTTCTAAAACAGCCTGTGTCTGCTATACCAGAGAGGAGTGACAGACTTCTAAAACTGTATCTGTACTTTCCAGTTCACTGGTGGTCCCACTGCTGATCGAAGAAGTAATTACATACGACTCCAGCAAACCCAATATAGAGACAGAATGGATGCTGAAAATTCCCGGGGGCGTACTTCCTTATTAGTATGTACCTTAGCACTTTTTATATTTCCGCATGCTGATAACATAACACCTTTGTAGCACTTACTTGTCTCGACAATATCTCTATTTTTAATTATAGCATTTTTGTTATTGAGATTGTTACATAGCTTATTGTTGTTGTAGATTACAATGTTATAACAACAATCACCGCATGAATTATATCATACATCTGGGTTTCTTTATCATCTATTCTTTAATTATCGCATCTATTTTATTTATTTGCTGCATTTGATATCTTAGAATTTAAGTTATTGTTTTAATAAATCTGCTCATGTTGCCTGTGAGGATATAATTATTAGAAATGACTGAATCGTCTGTTCTATATAAAGTGTATCTTTAGTTTGAGTTATTTTAGTTTTGAGTTCAAAAGTTTCAGGAAATCCAAATAGTGGTACCTGTTCCAAAAAAGCAGGGTTAAATTCCTTTCTTATGAAGCATTTTGACGAACAGCTTCGTGACGAAGGATTGATATAAAGTATTAAGAAACTAACTTCAAATGTAACCCAAATATGCAACCCTTTTTGGAATAGTTTTGTAAATAATGAAGGGATTTGGTTCAGTTTTGCAAATGGTTATATAATATGTCTGCAAATATTTTGAACGAAACAATAAATTTAACTATAACTTAACTAACAGTGATGTACTAAAATAGCATCAATCACTTAAAGAAAAAGAAAAGGAAGTGTGCTAAATCCAATGTCCTGTGTGGGAATTGGACTCAGGACCTTCCACTCAACTGATGCTCTACCACTGAGCCATAAAGGCTAGCGACCTCAGCTGATTTCTAGTATAGTAGCAACTTGTTATCAAGAGTCATTACACTTTTAACAATAAAGATTATATCTGGGGCTCATCCAGACCTCAATACAAGAATCCAGGCCACACTTAGACATGTTAGAGCACAAATCATAAGGCTGATCATTAATTTGATTTGAAAACAATAGTGTATTTATAATGATTATCAATGATATTAATTTATTCACACATTTTTTCCCTTATTGCAGTTTCCTTTATCAACCATGCTAGGTTGTGTAGTAATGAATGATAATACTGTGATCTGGTTGGTCAAAAATGCAATAATTCATGTATGCTTAAAATCTGGGTGCTTTTACTAAAGCTTAAATCCTGCTATGTTGTCTATCCATGCTTCAGACTCCTGGTCAGAAATTCAGTCAGTTAAATCCACACCCTGATAACGTTTTGCTTATTTAAATTAGAAGTGATTAGAACTTGAACGAGACAACAACAATATAGCATTTGCACAAAATGCAATAAAAAGTGAAAGTGAATTAATCCTGACATTGTCAGCTTAACCAAGTTAACAGTTTAACACATCATATGAATAAATATGATTGATTTATAATGTATTAGGTTGAACAGATCAGGAGTATTTACATTACATTAGAACAGGTATGACTGTGCTTTCAAAGATTAAAATGTATAAAGGGCAAATATAAGCAGTATTGAAGTCCCTAAGCCTCTATTTATTATGGGTATGATTTTAAATCATGTTTAACCAATGCAAGTGTCAATTCAGTTCATTAAAATATAAATAAGCCCTATTGATGTCTCATTTTAGCATGAAAATCCAAAATTCCAACAAAACCATTAACAGATTTTGGGAAAAAAGTTTTCGAAGAGCAATGTACAATTAAACCTGTCTTGTGAATAAATCTCCCAAGGGAACACCCGTCTACAGAGAACATATTTTTCAGCATATGCTCAACTTTAGTATAAAATACAGTGAAAAACCCTCTGCAGTGAATACTTAATCATGAAATTATAACCATATAAAGAGGACACCTGGCTCCGTATTTGTTCACCAAACACAGGTCTTACTGTAATCTAATTGACTTATTGTTCCATCTTTTCCAGGACTTCACACCGAGTGGGGCTGTAAATAACCACTGCAACAACTCAGATAGTAAATATGACAATGAAAAACATATTCCCGAAAATGGAGGACTATCATCTCCCCGGTTTACACACAGAATTAGAAGTCCCGCTGCCCCGGGAAGTCCTGGTGGGAAAGACAACTTCGAAAGACAGTTTCTACGTGTATTACAGAAAGTTAACCAAACAATTGAGAAAAATGAGATCCGATTGTCTGATCAGGACCGCCGTGACGCAATAAAACTTGAATGGCAACAGCTAGCTTTAGTGACTGATAGGGTCCTGCTCTATATCTTTGTTATCGTCACTTTATCAGTTACAATGGGAATTATGTTTGATCCACCGAATGCAAGGGCTTTCTTTACCCCGTATGTCAATCATGATAATAATAATGATGATGTATGAAACTCTGGCCACTTCCAGCTAAGAATCTGCAGTATAAAATGGAATTTCAAAGCTGCAGTTAAAATGGAATTTCAAATCTGCAGTTTAAAAATGAAATTCTCTCTGCAGCTAAAATGGAATTTCAAATCTACAGTTCAAATGGAATTCCAACTCTACAGTTAATAAAAAGGAATTTCAAATCTGCAGTTAAAACGGAATTTTAAATCTGCAATTTAAAATGGAGTTCTATCTTGGCAGTTTCAAATGAAATTCCAACTCTGCAGTTTAACAGTCATCGGATTCTTAACCTCTTTGTGCAAAAATGATCAACTGGTCCATATAGAAAAAATTGACAGGGCAATGTCCGACAGACCAGTGCTCAATATACCACACTCTAGACCAGATATTATGGCACACCGGGCCATGAAACTGAATGTGATCTGGAGAGTACTGCAGACTGAAGTAACTTTTGACCCTTGGGTTCCAAATGCATTGACGGAGGTGTGTTTGACATGTGTTTGACAGGATACCAAAAGTAGCAAGTTTAATGGACAATACATCTATATTACCTGTGTATTTTTACATTTGAATGACCTTGTTGTGTTTATAATGAACTTGTTGGATCATATGTCCCTCATGGCACAAGAATGAAGACATTGCGTTGTGTTGGGCAGGGGGCCTTACTTCATATTTGATATTGAAATAAAGTGAAACCTGTAAAATGGAACACCTCTCAAAGTGGACACCTCTTTTAGTCAAACACTTTTCAGAGTCTTAAGACCAGCTGACCTAATGTTAAATGAACTTCAATAAGTGGAACACCTCCTAAGTGGAACACTTTTTAGAGGTACCAAAGGTGTTCCACTTAATTAGATAGGTTTTAAAAGGTGACTTACCATTTCACCATTATTGCACCAAGGAATCTTTGCAGAGATGAAACCATGGAAAAGTAGTAAATATGCGAAAACACACATTGACTAAAAGACAAGAGAATTTGTGATTTGTGTGAAAGAACGGATGATGGCTTAAACTGTTCATTAATGATAATTGAATATTTGTATAGTATAGGAATATTATGTTTTGTAATATCAATGTTTTATGTATGCAACCACTGTTTCTTCCAAATATTTTATTTGTCTTGTGGCTTGTTACTTGATTTATACACTTGTAGATAATTTAGTGAGTTGTATATTTTGAATATCAAATTACAAAAATATATTTACTTTAAAGCTGGCGTCACAAGTCATGTGACTCCATGTTAAGCTTCATATATTAAAGGGACACTGTTGACTCTAATATTATGCATTATTTGTGGAAACTTGGAGTGAACACTATAAGATGGAATAAGACATTTACTTATTTTTCTCTAAAAATACAAAAATCCCCTCCCGATTACTTTAAATATAATTTTTCAAAATTGTCGAAAATGTCTGGCACATAAAGATTTTTTCTCCAATAACTGGGAGGGTTATCGTTTAAGAATTGTATTTCTGAGAAAAATCCTCAGAATATTTTATAGTGTCAATTACAGGTATCTTTGATTTTATGTTTTGTAACAAATAATACCTAATAAAAGAGTCAAGTGTTCCTTTTAAATGATATATCATACTCTGTACTTCATATTTTTGTATCACACAATAATTTGAAATGATGTGCTTATTTGTGTGTTAACCTGTATCCTGTTTCAGCTCAAATTGCTTTGCTTCCATTAATTGTAACTTTGTTCTTTGGTAATACTATATACTATTTGTCACTTTGATTCTATCATATGTTTGATATAATGTATATAATGTTAGAATGTAGCTAGTTTTTCAAAGGCTGGGTTGAATGTCAATAAATGTCTTGAAGTTTAAAAATATCCAAATATGGAAAAACATATTAACATTAATTCCAAAGTTTACTCAGCCGAGACAAGTTTTTAATGAGTTTTTATTTCATATGTGATTTAAATGATGGATTAATATTTTACATCTAGACTAATTAGTGAATGTAATACACTCCCTCCAAAGGTTTGGCAACTTGACTATAGGATTGCCTGATTAAGCCAAAATACACTTCCCTCCAAAAGTTTGGGAACATGACTCTAGGATTATGTGATTAAGCCTATATATTTCTGTTTCAATTTTTTTAAGTCACAAATGTTGAATTTTTTTAAATGGCAAAACAGGTCATAAAATTTAGTTCAAAAAGGGAGTTGTTGCCAAATGAAGGAGAAGAGAGTACATGTAGTTCTATAACTGTATAGTGAAGTTCCCAATTTTTTCCAGCAGACCTATTAATCTGAATTTTATGACTTCTCAGTGAGGACATACTTTTCTCCACGCGTGAATCAATAATTAAAGGTCATTTTAACATTGATCAGCCTTTTGACCACAACTGCACTGGGATTTTCTGAACCTGATATGAAATTCTACAAAAGTAATGGATTTTGCTTGTCAGGAAAAGATGTTTATAGATCAGGAGCTATGTACGAATATTACTTTGGATGTTCAACATGTCATTATCATGTAGTGCCCCACTGCCCAAGTCACAATGGATAAATATACATTTTCCTAATATACCTCTAATTTTGAAAAAAGGTCAGAAAATGCAATTACATGTAAATGAGAATGGCAAGCAAAACAAAGTGAAAACATGTGACTCCATCTAATTATTTTTTAAGATTTTGAAATTTGGAGGTTGATGATGATGTCTCAAGATAGGTGCGCATGGTGTCACTTATTAGTACCAAAAGGTCAATGACCTCGTTCCGACCTCATATTGAAAGGTCATACTGAAACCCCCTCTTAAAAGTAGACTCAGAAACAGAGATCATTTTTTAAATTATGTCATTCCTCTTACAGAGATTCTGCCTTTAAATAGGAAAAAAATATATGGATACAAAATCTTTTTAATGATCACTTTTACCATTATTGTTTACATATAACATATACTTCTTTTTAAAACTATTTACTATTCATAAAATAATGTTATATTTGACATATATAATCTTAAAATTGAGTGTACATTATGAAATGTTTCTTAACATCTTTAACTTTCTTGACATTAATAACTTTGTGCTTCTTGACAAGTTTAAAGTTGGTAATTGTGTTACTTGACATATTTAACCATTTTCCCTTCCCACATACATTTAGCACAATTTTTAATCACACTGGAATAACCTGACAATAGGACATGCAGTAGCAGATGCAATGATCAATAAAATTATTTTTATTTTTGTTTGGCTCTTATAGAATGTGCATGAACAATTTAACATGCACTTACATTTTGTATGTACAGTAAAACCTGTATATCTGAATAATTCTCAAAACTAAACACTTGGCTATCCCCAGTGCTCGTATTGGACAGATTTCACTGTATCTAGTTTAGGGTGCGATATTTCACATACAATGCACGATTGTGATCTGAAAATTATGAGAGCCTCAACAATGAACATTACTTACATTGAACTTTATCGCCACACGGTGGCGAATGATGAGCCCACACGGCCTAGTGTGACAGCTATTTTAGCAACATAGTAGATTGACTATTCACACATTCAGACTATTCACATTCAGCAATGGTTACTCAGATTATGCATTGTACATATTAATGGTTACATTGAAAAATACTACTGCATGGGATTGTCAATAACCCATTTTACAGTATTATATATATCATTATTTGAGGTAAGAGTTGACAAAAGAAATTATTCAACTGCATTGTGGATAGTAGCAATTATAGCCACCATTTTAATGTTATCCCAGTGATTTAGGAACTATTTCTATATTTGTAAAGTTTTAAATCTTTGAATTAACTATTGTTATGAAGACTTTCAATGTTTCATTAATTAATTAGATTTGATTTCAATTTGGCAATAAAATATGAATTTTCAATCCATTTTGGATAATTAATTAACTTTCCTCTTGGGTTTGAATGCTATATACATGTACATGTATTGTAGTATGTTGTTGAATTGAAAAGTGTGTATGGGTACAAGTGATTTCTAATATGTATAGTATTAGATTTTGTTTTGAGGCTATCTAGCTACATTTGTGAGTATTTATGTAACCAGTTATCTGATTGTATCTTTGTTTCGTCTTTTGTTACTGCATTATATATTAATATACATTTATATATTTTAAACTTGAGATTTTTGGTTAATTGGTTATGTGGGGTGACAAAATTTCACAGGTGTAGTGAAATATTTACTATCACATATAAATGTGATGTTAATGAATTAGATAGTCATATCTATGCCTTTTTGCACAGATAAATCAACATGACCATTTGAACCAAAAATCTCAAAAATAGTGTTTCTTAAGGTAGCACAAATGGTACAATGATGCACCCATGCACCATGGAAATATTAATTTCTATGCAATAGGTCTACATCTTCACATAAATTAGTGAATCCTTTGAAAAAAAAATTATATTTTTCATTTTTGGGAAGTACAACTACTTAACATTTTTATTTTACCTTTTGAGCTACCTTAAACTGTGCTCCAAATTACTAATACAGTATACTATCAAAGGTTATGTAACTATTACTATACAGAAAGATTTTGAGGGGATGTATCAATATAACTGTATACTATAAATATTGAAAGTAATTATTATATTTTACGATGACCCCCTACCTCCATTCTCAAAATGTAAGTGAGGACAATTTGATTTGCTTTTTTTCTGAGTAAATTCCCTGGATTTTATTTGAAAATCATTTTAAACAAATCAAGTATAAGAGACCCCTTCCCCCCTCATTACTTTTGTTGTATTTTATTATTGTATATCGATATTTTGATATTTCTCCTAATAAACATGTATTGTGATGTTATTTCACAATGTTTACAATGTTATATGCTGCTCGGTAATGTACAAAATAAATACTTTAAATCTGTTTTATATAAATATAGGTGTAATTGTTATTTTATTTATTAATAATCTATTCTAGGATTAAACAAATACATTTTTCTACATAAACAAAGATGACATAGATTTACTGATATTTGTGATTTATACTTCACTTTAAGTACTTTATTGAAATCAGAATTATCTATTACATTGATGAATCACCACAAATAAATTCTTGTTACATTGATGAACCACCACAATCAAATTCTTGATGAGCCACCAGAAATACTTGCCTATATCATTTAATTGTCTTTTCAACGAAAGAAAACAAAGGATATAAACACCATTCGTCATTTTTTCATGAAGTAGTGATCATTTAAGCTCTTCCAAAATTAAAGCATACTTTAAGGACAGCTTCTGATAACTTGAGGCTATTTGATTCAAGGCTAAACAGTTGAATGTAAAACTAGATTGAAATACGACCCATATGCACAGAGGATAAATCTTGGTAAGAGAGCCATGTGGAATGTTCCTTGATAAAAACCTGAGTGTGGTTTTCAAAACACACATATATTGCGATTATCTCCCTCTTCTAGGCATATTGTATATAAGCCATAATGATAACCTCCCCATGATTGGGGTATCACTTCCTGTTTTTGAATCCTAGTTCTTCGATCAAGGCACTGCAGGAGTAGCTTTCCGTAGCGCTAGATATCCTTGTACGATGTCACTCGGTAATAAACGAACTCTAGGGAACTCATCTGGCGAGGAATATCGTATCTTAGTGTGTGGGTCTGTGTATTTGGCCTGGAGCGATAAAAATAAATATCAACATTTAGAAACCAGAACAACGGCAACGCCAAAGCGTAGCGAATCCCATCGAACAGAAATGGCTGGCATTTTTACAAACGAAGCGCAAATATCATAAAACAACACACCAGAAAGGCCACCATTTTCAAAATGGTTGCTCACTAGCCAAGTTGTCATCAGAAGAAATCGCACACATACTTGTAAAATAACACACGTAAAAATGGTGGCCATTTTTCAAAATGGCTGACTACTCCCCAAAGTTTTATTAGACAATGTGCCATGCTTAAAGTATTCACATATCAAATATGAACAAAATCGCTCCACTACTTTTCGAGTAATAGTAAAATACGTTAAAATGGCGGCCATTTTTCAAAATGGCCACCTTCTACCAAAAGCGTCATTAGAAATAGACGGTGTTCCATGCTTATAGTATTCACATACCAAATATGAACAAAATCGCTCCACTACTTTTCGAGTATTAGTAAAATACATTAAAATGGCGGCCATTTTGAAAAATGGCCGCCTTCTACCAAAAGTGTCATAGGACAGTGTGCCATGCTTATAGTATTCACATACCAAATATGAACAAAATCGCTCCACTACTTTCCGAGTTATAGTAAAATACATTAAAATGGCGGCCATTTTTCAAAATTGTTTTCAAAATGGCCGCCTTCTACCAAAAGTGTCATAGGACAGTGTGCCATGCTTAAAGTATTCACATACCAAATATGAACAAAATCGCTCCACTACTTTTCGAGTTATAGTAAAATACGTTAAAATGGCGGCCATTTTGAAAAATGGCCGCCTTCTACCAAAAGTGTCTTTAGACAGTGTACAATGCTTATAGTATTCACACACCAAATATGAACAAAATCGCTCCACTATTTTTAGAGTTACAGTAAAAATCGTAAAATGACGAGTAAAGGCCGCCATTTTTCAAGATGGCTGCCATGTGCTTTTTAATATCTACATTTGTAGCATTATTAATGTCCTTTATAATTTTTTTTACATTTAAAACATATTGCTATTACAGTTTTACATATTGCACCTAAATTACTGTAAAATCGTCACTAAAATGGCCGCCATTTTGAAATGAGTAGCCATTTTGAAAATCGGCTTTCGAGCAGAACTTCTACTCTCATAGGGTATATGTGTACGAAATATGAACAAAATCGGGCCAACGGTATTTGAGTTATTGCCCGGACGGACGGACGGACGGACGTACGTACGGACGGACGGACGGACGGACGGAGGCGTTCCCTATATCCCTCCGAACTTCGTTCGATGGGATAATAAACTCACCCCAGTTCCATGAAAACAACTTGAATGATTAACTCAGATGTATTTGTTCCTTGCAATTTTGTCACCCCCCCCCTACAGATCTGATTCTACCTTTAAACGAATACTTTTTAAGCCAAACTGTCCACATCTTTAATGTTTATACATCTTTGATGTAATTCCTATTGGATTATAGCTACAAAGACAGGTCTAACAATTTATGAGCTTTTAAAGGTTCTAAAAATCAATTCAGACAAATCGGTTAAACAAGATCTGACATTAAGGTCAAAGTGAACCGAGTTGATCTTCATTGACCTAATAAGGAAAAAGTGTTTTAAAATAATCTGACAAGAGTGCTATTCCAAAGAAACATAAGAACTGGTCGATGATAAAGTATTTTTTATAGAACAGTAAATGAATCAATCTACAAAAACAACTTCCAGGATATAGGTGTAATTTGATACTATTAGCGAGTTAGCTCCGACATATTAATAGAACTAATCATAAAAGGATATAAGATATAGTTGTTGAATCAACTGAAATTCACCTGTATTATTAAATACATTAATTTATAAAAGGGCACATCCTGGTTTGCCATTCTGATTCTTTTCATCGATATATTTAAACACAGAGGGTTCAATCTCCCAGTGATTTACAGATTCTAAAAGATCTATCAAAATGCTGTAAACACTTGTGATGTTTTGCTCGTTCAATTTACGCGACATTGAAATCCCTAGGAATACGATTTGTTTGAACGAGTTGCTTCATTTGAGTCTTTTGAACGTCTAAATCAAATTATTGCCAGCATGAATCAAATAAACCGGTGATTAAATCCATTTATCCAACTTAAGTTATATTAAGGCATGAATATGACAGTCATTTGAGTATGAAGGTTTATAAGACATAAACTACCTTGGTTTCAATCAATAATTTATTAACAATTTAGGTGAAACACAGAACCAAATGATTTAGGTCAACAATAGAGCCATATAATTTAGGTCAACTACATAGCCAAACAATTAAAGTCAACTACAGAGCCAAACAATTTAGGTTAACTACAGAACCAAACAACTTAGGTCAATTTTAGAGCCAAACAATTTAGGTCAATTACAGAGCCAAACAATCTAGCTCAACTAATGAGCCAAACAATTTAGGTCAACTACAGAGTCAAACAATCTTAGTCAAGTACAGAGCAAAACAACTACAATCAACTGAAAAGCCAAACAATTCAGGTCAACCACGGAGCCAAACAATTCAAGTCAACTATAGAACCACATAATTTAGGTCAATTACAGAGCCAAACCATTTAGGTCAACTACAGAACCATTTATAGACCCAAACAATTTAGGTCTATTACAGAGCCAAATAATTTAGGTCAATTTCAAAACCAACAGGTCAACTACAGAACCATTTATAGACCCAAACAATTTAAGTCTATTACAGAGTCAACAATTTAAGTCAACTACAGCATCCAATTCAGGTCAATTTCAGAGCCAAACAACTTAGGTTAACTACATGTTCATTTGTCAATATAGACCCTGGACCATTTGTAAACATACCATTTGTCCATAGACCATTTGTAAACATACCATTTGTCCATAGACCATTTGTAAACATACTATTTCTCCACAGACCATTTGTAAATATATGTGTCTCTGACATGATTGAGCACCCAGAAACAATGATGTCGGTCTATTAAATACATTTGGGTCTAAAGTTATCAACAACTCTAAATGTCTACCAAGGACAGACAAACGGACGGATGGATGGACAGACTCGGGACATTTCATTAGCCCTAAAGTGATCATCATTTTAAGAACATTTCACCCCAGTGGAATGAACTATATTAAGAGTTAACCGTGATATAGAAATCACATCAGTATCTCATCAGCATCAAAGCAAGTAGAAGCGACACTTGAGATTTTAAAGCCTTGCCCTCTATGAAAAGCCGAACAAGGCATTAACATGCAAAATGTCACAACCACCTACCATTTGTTACAAATGCCAACCACCCAACACAAACCACATCGTCCGCAAAAAAAGTTGGAGACTATAAAAACGCCAATTATGGTGGTGACGTAAAAATGACAACAATGAGAACAAAAAAGACCATACTTTGTGAAAATAGGAATTGTGTATATTTAATGAGAAAGTTCAGGGGAGAACACTGCCTTCAATATTAAAATTGATCCATCAAAAGTTCCTAATCAGATCAACAAGAGTACGAGTAATGTTGAATTTGTCCTCTAAAAAGCTATTCTCAGAGAAACGTAAATATGAGCCAAATACAATAACTTGTTATCCCTAAGGAATATAAGTTATAATATGGGATAACCCTGACAAAAGATTATACCTTGTTTTATCAAAAAAGCACAGAGAAATGTAACAGGGAAATTCTCATTAATACTCATTCATTCAATGTCAACCACCATTAAAACCCTTCAACAATAACTCATTTAAGGACGTCTTATAATACGGCATTCAAATATTTTATTAAAAAAGTACAACATTCTCATATAATTGAAATACGTAATTTATGTAGGGGGATGATCTATCCTGTCAGGAGTTGACCCATTGATAAAAATCAATGTTGATGCTGAGCTCATATTTTCAAAACTCACTTTGCCTTATTAATCTGAAGTTCAATAGTTTAAGGACTTCATTCACGTAACATGCTTAGAACAAAATAGTGTTCCTTAAGTTACAACCTGGTTAAAAGGATATGAAAAAACTTGGTGTACATCAATCAACTCATTGACATTATAGTAGTAGTAGTTTTTATCTCAAAATGAATGATGGAAATTCATGAATATTGTTGTATATTCATCTCAATTCTCCTTCTACAGCATAACATTCATGAAATGTTTTATATTTTCCTCTGTCAACATTGAAACAAGTTGTAACTATGTTCGTTAAAGTGGCATATAACCAAATGGCCTTTAGAGAGCCCTTAAATGGCTTTCTTTCGAAAGAAGTCACTGAATTGATGTTTCTCTTATATAATCAACATTCTTTACTTTGAGAGTATCATTCGTATTTTGTTTTGTTTACTCAACCATGGATTTATCTGCTAGAGATATCAAGGTGAACTGTGTGTAGAACTGAAACCTTATGAATCAATATGGAAAGCACTGTACCTTAAAAAAGTCCCTCATGCTTTAAAAGCATTTATCGCAAAAATGAAACAGCAAAATGAGAAATTTATATTCTTTTTGTGATTGGTTTTGATTCCCTTGGTGACAACTATCACTTTATGTACCACTATCTATATGGCTTAGTCCAAATCACAATAAAGAATGACTATTTCATTGAAAAAAATTTAATTATTTATTGGTCGTGGCAATAGGAGATTCCACTTTGAATATAAAAAGTTCAATGAAATAGTACCATTATATGAATTATAAATGGAGAGTTTAAAAGCTATATTCTAAAAATGATTGCACCATTACCTAATGGCCAATAGAAGGACTTTACCTCAAGGTCCAATAGGGTTGAGTCAGGACATTTGCTTGCTGAGTAAGTCAGATATATGATTATCATCTAATGTTATAATCTAATTTATTTTATCTCATAGAAGAGCAAAATAATCAAACATTAGAATTGAGCAATCAGTGCCATCTTAAATGGGTCAATTAATTTTCATGTTTAAGGGTAATTCAAAATTAGATGAAAGAGGCTCAAGGAAATAAGTTGATCATGGCGTTGAGTCTTTGGCGGATATGTCGTTCAGAGGTCAAATCCTTGATCTTAAGGTGAAGAGGCATTCGGAGTAGGATGAGGCTTAAAGTGCCTCGTACTAATTATGTAGATAAAGCTCTCTTCTAGTGGAAAGTGAAATTTGGAGTATCCTCAATAAGAGTTCAATGAATTTTTGTCGTGGATTATCCGAAGTCAATGTGCACTCCAAAATACATCTATGAGATTTCATTCTTCAGTATTCTCTCCAATAATTTTTTTCCAAATTTAGACATTTGGTGAAAATATGCTTATTTTTGCATGATTTTCTTTTTTTCAAGTGGGTGTAAATAACTTCTTAGGGGGGGGGTGCAAGTTTATTATTAAAATCTCAAGTGGGTGCAGTGCCCACTTGAGAGATCACTGAGATTCCGATCATTAGTGATTATTACATCATTTACTGTTTCATCAAAATCACATTTACTATCAATTGTCTGTAAGACAATGTTGCATTTAATTTACAATACAAAGATAATTAGCTAATAAATTACATTTGGGTCAATCTGACAATTACTGTACATAAACTAGTGTACTTCATTGTTTCACTAGCAACAGGCCTGCAGCCAGTGGGTTCAATTTTCTAGTGATTTTGAGCCAAAGTTGTCAAATTGTTTCAAAAAACTGAACACCCACTCCCTCCCTCCATGGACACTCACGTGGATATAAGTCATAAAACAGATGTTCATCTTTAATGCAGCGAGCTTATTCTCTCTCTAAAGACAACCTATGGTATTTCTATAGCTACAAGTGACACATCTAAAATAACTGTATTTGCAATTCAAGATCACAAAAATGTAATTATCAAAGTAAATTCACAAAGAATTACTGTGAGACAAAGATGCGGAAAACAAATAAAAAATTCAATTAAAGTTTGAATGAGACTTAAAGTTTGAAATGTGAAATCTTTCTTGGTATTTTGATAAAATTAGTAATATTTCAAAAGAGCTTTTGAAAAGTCAAAAAATTTCTAAAAAATTAAGAATAAACAAATTCATTTATCTTCACACTTTAGTTCGATTTACTCTTCCTAAAATTAAAAAAAAATCAAATTAAAAAAAACTAATTAAATATATATAGAAAACCACAAAAATGTACGAAGATCATTGAATTGTATAGAAAGAGATGCGTAGTCATAAACTGTTAATTTGTTCAAAACAGGTGTAAAATATTTTCGATAATGAAACCATTTGACATATTTATTGCCAATTTGATTTGTGTAAATAGACAACCGGATTAAATTAAGTCTGAAAAGAATTCAATTTCTTCAAGTTATTTGCTGAGATGTTTAATCCCATGTTTTAACAATCTTGAACTGCAAAAAAGTTACCATAAAAGAGAAATAACAAGCTCACACAAAATGTTCAACAATAATTAAGTCCCTCACTCCTTCGAACTAACTTTCTTGATGAATTCTTAGTTATCTTATTTTGGCATTAGAGCATTACGTAATACAAAAATGGTTATTTTAGAATCATTAATATATTACTCATTGAGCCCTAGATGTATCCGGGGTGTATCCGCTAGTAGGTACGGCAAAATATTTGTCCCAGGAAGCCTAGAGCGAGTCTAATGGGACCTGATTTACAATTTCTACACTTTTATTGGATTGAATAGTGTAGATAATTGCAGAATCAATAATCTTTAGATTTGATAGATCTTTATTTTATACACAATGTAAGAATCGTGTGAATGTGTCCATTCCATATGCGAGTTGTATATTGTGTGTAAATCTATGGGATTGTTTCAGAAGATATGAAAAAATTCAATCCAAAGACCAGTATGTATGACAGCTTATCTTAGAAAGACAACTAGTTTGTGTGTTATCATAAATCTAGGATAACCTTTCCATTTATCTCACAATTAAGACTTCATTAAATTAATTCTTTATTTTTGAACAAAAAATTCATCAAAAATCCAAACGTCATTGTGACTCTAAATTTGCATTCCAATACTCTTCACATATTTCTATTATGCACCTAGCTATGTTGCGGGGAAGGAAAATCGAAGAAGGGTGTGATCTAGGACGATGGTTCACTTGTGAATGTTATGATTTTGTTCTTTTTATACAATTTATAATAAACATAGGCTTTACATACCTCTAGGCCTGTGAGATCTGAATACTTTTTGGCAGGTTTGAAAGAAGGTGGAGCTTCAATAGAATAGTCTGAAATTAAAAAAGACAGAAGTTTAGGATTAAAATGTTCCAAAGATTATTTCCTTTAAGACTATACAACACATACTGGGATAAAGTACCAATTACATGATACATACACCAATATAAAGGTTTCCTATAAAGAATGTCACATTCTCACAAGGAAAATTGCTGTAATTAATTAATTAATGAATTAATTAACTATTAATAATAGCCTATTGTATGAACTTAAGGAAGGGGAAAAGTAAGTCAATAAGTCAAGGGATATTCGTCCCTGCCATAATGGTATACATGAAAAACATAAACATTCTATTTGCTCAATGGTAGAATCAAAGATAGAGAGCAACTTTATGGCCCATCTTGATGATGAAAAATTGATGATTATTTATCTGTATTTTATCATTCATTAAATGTTTGTTTTAAATTGCTTGCAATGTGGTCACCTCTACATCTTGGATTCTAGGTTTAAACAAAGAATGAACGACATGATCTGACATCTTTTTAAATTCAACATCATTTGGTAAAGAAATGCTTCATTCAGAATTTGCAATAAATCAATGTATCTGACTACAGTTCCATCTTTAAAACATTTAGCATTCAATAATTAAGTCAAAATTAAAGGATTTTAGTAAGCATAAAACTAATTTATCAAAATATCACATTTCGCGTGTTATTAGAGGTATACATAACAAAAGTGTTCACATTGAAGGTGTTCTCATAAGAGGTGTTCACATCCAAGGTGTTCACATTAGAAGGGTTCACATTACATGTGTCTCAAATCAAAAAAGTGTTCACATTTAACTTTGTTCTGTATCCAATACATACAATGCCTACATACATGTTGGGTCATCTGTGCCCCAAGGTAGAGCCCTATCAGCTGCTACGATCTGTTTGAGATTCTTCCACACTCTAGCCCTCTTGTTACCACTGCTAGCTGTACCCTTCCTGGAGTGCTGTAAAAATATATATGAATGATGGTACATAGTGTAAAATGTTGGAAGAGATTTTTTAGAAAAAGTTTATAATCCTAATTTCAAAATGAATGCTGATTTAAAATGCTTTTCATTCAAACTTGGGATTCAAAGTAAATTTTTTTTGTGATACATTCAGTGGTTTGATATGTACCATTGACCCTGTATATCTATATGTTTTTAATTTATCCTCTAAAAAGACTTACAACAAAGTTAGGATCTTTGAAGACAGGTATCTTGTCAGTGTTTGCCTCAATGGCAGGACTTGCTGCAGCAGACCTTTCATCACCAACTGAAAAACTGTCATTGCTTTCTTCTGCTGTACAAGGCTGCAAATCGAAGGAAGACAGATAAGACATGAGGTTATTTACTGGGAGGGATTGAATATAGGCGTTATGCTGAAAATCTGTCATTGCTCTCGTCTGCTGTACAAAGGCTGCAAATCAAATGAAGACAGATAAGTGCATGAGGTTATTTACAAGGTGGGATTGAATATGGGGTTTAAACTGAAAAACTGTCATTGCTCTCTTCCGCTCCTCGGCATACACGATGATATCAGCTGGTAAAAAGGTCTCTGCATCTGCTTGGTAGTAGCTGTGTTTGGCATAGTTGGTTGGTTTGGTTGGACAGTTTTGCAGTCTGAGTCTAGCTGCTAAGATGTTGAAACATGTAGGCTTTCTTTCTGGTTTTCCAGATTCTGCCTAAAGATGATATTCTTCAGTAATCGGGTCAGTTATATTATGAGATAATATTCTGACAGCTTGTCTGGCTCTAAGAGGAGGGAAAGCCCCAGAGTTTAAAGATGACAGACATAGTTACCTCTCTTGCGTACCACCTTCGTTCGTTCGAATTTTCATCAGGTAGTTATCAAATACATGTACTACACTTCGATGGGATGTTTTAATTGATATAGGCATATTCCGTACACCTTTCTTTATCTTGATGTGAAATGAGAAGCCATGATATTGGTTAACACGCCAGAAATAAACATAATATTATTCGAAGCGTATTTCGAAAATTTTAAAACCGCCATTGATGACTGTAAAAGGGTAAGAGGTCCTATCAAATTATGGTCCTACTCTCCATTGATTTATATGGTGACCTAAATACTATTCTTTCTCTCATTATCTTATACACAATCAGGGCCAGTAAGGGCCGTTAAGAAATAGGACCATTATCCCTGGGGGACCATCATTTCTTTCACAATGACGTCATTTGTTTGTCCACTTTTGACCAATCAGCGACGATGTCATCTCAATACAGATTTACATTATAAGCGTATGTCATCTTTGAACCCTGGTGTTTCTCCCCCTCTGTCTGGCTCTCAGGTTGTGGGGCCGGATATGGAATTATGGATACTTACAGAAAATGTAGTTACACTCTGTTAAGCATGATAAAAGGCAAGAAGTTTAGTTAGAAATAAAAGAGTTATCTCATGAATGGGACCCTTACATGGCTCCTAAAAGGTAGAAGACACTAAATGGTGTGACACTATAAGCTGAATTTTGTCCACATAGAGAATGTGCACAATACTAAAGACATGTAAAATTGAACTGTCAAAATAATAGAAATTACTCACCAGCTCGCCTCTACTGGAAGTTATGATACGTTATGGTGTAACTACGGTAATTAATTTTAAAATATTGAAAAAATCAACAACATTCAATTTCTAGGGTGTACAACCATTTTCGAGCGAATTTGCCGATATAATAACAATATTTTTGAGTTCCCCTAGGCTATATATAAACTTCATCAATACACAGTATATTCAACATAGGTTTTGCTTCTCGATTTTTAAATATCACTATGCAAAGACAGGGACTCATTTTAGGTAAAATCATTGCTTCACCAATGAAAATTAAAGGGAACGTTAGCTCACAAAATAAATAAATCCATTACAATGTTAAGTATATGATTTGAAAGATTGGCTGGATTATATGTGTGATCGATTGATGCATAAACAAACATATTCATTTCAACTTGCAGACCTCCATTCTGGCTCATGTATAGGCCTAAGACGCCATATTGCCTTATGTATTGTACTGCCCATGCGTGCATACTTAATGCGTGACGTCACATCGACAGAGATCAGCGATCAAGTTTGACTAAAAAATTAAAAGATCCACACTTAACAGCACAAAAATGATATCAATGATCGCCTCTTTCATATCAAATAAGTGTAGGATGTAAGATTTAACATTTTTCATGTTATTTAGTATTTACAGAAGCAGAGCTTGTAAAGAAACCAAGTTTTAAATTCCGATTTTGACTGTTGACAAAAATAAAGAAAAGAGAGAAAGAGGCGACTTGTTAGAAACAATGACATGAAATTGTGAATAAAAAAGATATTATTGTGGGTTTTATTTTTTGAGAGTTCATCAAATACACTCATGTGTATTAATTTAAATATGTATTGTAATACCTCTCAGTTCTACCAAGGATTATAAAAACTGATCGAAATGGCTTCGTTTTTAAAGTATAAAAAACACTACCCTACCCGGAAGTAGTATAACATGTATATTGAAACCATGTGTAAACTGTAAATCACGTGAATTGGCTGATGCAATCAGGATGTGACTAGTACAAAGTAACTATGATGCAATCAGGATATGACTTGTGCAAAATAATTGGCTTCACCTAGAATTCGCGATCTTTGCTCTTTAGCATAACATGAAGACATGTTTTGTGTTTAAGTAGCTAGATTCAAATACAAACTAAATGAATATAACATAAACCAACCATCATTTGTTCCAATCATGGCGAATTTTCAAGGAAATACGTGTAACTGAATGTAAATCAACAGCGGAGCTCTTCAATTATGAGGTGAGAAAAATGTAAAAATAAAAACAAAAATAAATCTCACAGAATAGAGCTATTTATACGATTCTAAGTACATTTTAAGTGCTCCATACATTAATGTAAGTATAAAAGCCATTAACCTCAACTGGGAAGCACTTTCCAACTATTTTTACGGCTTGAATTGTAAGAAAATGGCACTTATCTCAAAAAATGGAAATTTGAAAGAATCTCAATTTATTGTGAAGATGAAGTTTATATATATCTGTATATGGGGGTGCGAATATATAGTCATAGTATGGGCTAATTCGCTTAAAAATGGCGATATATACCTCAGAACTTGTATTTTGTGATTTTTTCAATATTTTAAAATTAATTACCGTAGTTTCACCATAACGTATCATAACTTCCGGAAGAGGCGAGCTGGTAAGTACATTTCAGTTCTTTTGACAGTTCAATTTTACATGTCTTTAGTATTGTGCACATGCTCTATGTGGACAAAATTCAGCTTATAGTGTTACATCATTTAGTGTCTTCTACCTTTTAGGAGCTATGTAAGGGTCCCATTCATGAGATAACTCTTTTATTTCTAACTAAACTTCTTGCCTTTTATCATGCTTAACAGAGTGTAGCCTATTATCACCCACCACTTCAAATTTTTAAAAAACAATTGAAATATTCGTAATGCTGTTCAACATTATTTGAAGATTTAACCTATTGTGCTAATTTTCTATACGATAAACACTTACAGTCACTGCTCGTTTCTTCGTTTTAATCAGAGAACTGGTTGCAGGACTCGAAGAACGTTTGCTAGCATTTTTCCGCGGTCGTCCAACAGAAGACATCCTAACGAGTAGCAACTTCAACAGGGACTGATCATTTTCTACTTCATTTTCGTTCTGTGATTCCCGGGGTTGACAAATTCCCGGGAGACTCTTGCAGGATTGCAACTTTACATTGTTTTGTTTATATCATTATGTGTTATGTATTCAAGTAAATATGTTTTCACATAGATTGCACTTGATGTACGATACTAGAGATGAAATTGATTGCAATATTGATATTGAATATGAAAGCCCATGGAGAAAATGAGATAAAAAATGTAAGTTTGTTCAAGGGGTTGATTCATTGTGCTTGATGGTTGGGTGGGATAGTCTACTGTACTATAGTAAGTGTCTATTGTTTTTATTGATAAATGAAATTGAAATGGATAGGGTTGATTTTGTTACTTGTATATCGAGAGTGATCGTGATTGTGCTTTATGTGTTTGGATAGATTTGATTGTGCTTGAATCATAAAAGGTTTATAGTTGGTTGTGCTTCATGTACTAGAGGGATAGAATTGATTGTATGTCGAAACTGTGGATGGCATTGGGTATGTCTGAAATTGACTGGGCATATAATTACTCAGAAACATCATGGCATTTTTTTGAATATAGATAGGCTACTACTGCCATCTTTCTGTTGACTTTGTCCCTAGCTATGACATTTGTTTGGATGAGAGAAAAATGTATTAAGATTGATTCACTCAAGTGCTGCTGCAGATGATATTCTGAACAAGACAGTTGGCAGTGTGTATATCACATGATTAGGGTCCATTGGGGGGGTAGGTGGTTCTTCTCACACATTATCTCAATAACCCCCCTCCCCCCAAAGTACAGGGTGGTCCAAAAAATGGGACACTCATATTTCAAAATTAAATATTGATTTTCCTGATGAAAACATGTCATATTATACAGGGTGTCCGGAAAGTAAAGATACAAATACTCTTATTTTAAGATATTTTGAATATTTGAAATGAAATTGCTATAGATTGTAGAGGAACAATATTACAATATGTCTACCAACTTTCATTACATATAGTCTAAATGTATTCAAGTTACGGTTGTTATGGTTACGGATGTGAGAGGTATGTGGAGCAGTTCCAGAACAACGCTAAAAAGTGAAAAATTGCTTAAAGACAACCATTTGGAACAGTGTTTTTTGTTGTATTTTCTATATATGTTTTGTTTTGTTCATCAATGTATTATTGCTGCCATAGTGTTTTCTTTTATATAATGATGTCATTGCTACATATCAGAACTATGTTATGTCACTAACCAGTATAATGAAAGAAATATTATACATGTGCCTAGAAGAATGGTCCTTGGCCATTAGTAGGAAAGTCAATATTGCATCTCCACAATGCACCAATTCACAAAGCAAAAAAAACAAATCTTACAATGGAGTGTCTTGACATTAAACCTTTCTATCAATCCTCCATATTAACCTGATAAAGCCTCTTTAGACTTCTACCTTAATGACCATTTGAAAGCAATATTTGTAAAAAGTTCAACATACAAATGAGACTCTGCTGGAAGACAATGTTATCAGCAATCTGAGAGATGGACAGCAGCGGTTTTATCAGGTCTTTGAATCGCCGGTCAAGATGCACCAATAATGTATCGATAATGGGGAAAATAATGGATATTCAATGAAACTAGTAATATGAAATGATCAAATAAAGTTACATTACTTATCCCTATGCTGTTGTGGTACATAATTTGATATAATATAGGAATAGATGGTGGAGTGCCAAGATCATATGAGCAGGAAACAGATTTGTAGAACACGGTTTTGACGTTGCTCCACTTACCCCGACTCCCGTTACCATAACAACCATAACTTCTTCATTTTGAAACTTAAAGTTATGACAGTTGCAGGATATATTGTTATAATGTCATTCCACATTCTGGAGCAATTTCATCTCATAACAGGTAAATCTCTTGAAATAAGAGCATTTGTATCTTTACTTTCCGGACACCCTGTATACCAGTGGATAGGGAATTTACTCATCTTTAATTTGGTATATCATTAGCTCAAAATTACAATGTCCGTCAGTCAGCGTCCATAATATAAATGTCATTTTAGTTTCAAAATGGGTTTTCGCCTTGCAAAACTCAAGTTTTATTGTCAACTTTATTTACATAAACAGACATTCAATATGTTCACCATTTTGATCAATTGTAGTCCTCAAGTTTGGCCTTAACTGGTCAATTAGTAAATAGCATCATTGATATGCTGTTGAGACAATGAATTTCACTTTTTAATAATTATGTCCTTAAGGGACTGGATAGATGTAAGGATTTATGGGACACCAATTCTATTAGTTGACAGACATTATAATAAATTTGAACTTATGATATACCAAATTAAAGATGAGTAAATGCCCTGTCCACTGGTATATAACATGACATGTTTTCATTAAAAGAAATCAATATTTATTTTTGAAATATGAGTGTCCCATTTTTTGGACCACCCTGTATTTGTATGTTATAAGAATAACAATAACATTAGTTTTGCCTGATGAGGGGGATATGTGACATTTAACTTACAAGAGGAAAGAATGAACTTTACAAAAGTCCTTAGAGGAAAGTAGAGATATATATAAAAAGTAACAAATTCATTCATAATTTTCTATCAACTTTATTATTTACAGCTTTTACTGTCAGAAAGTACAGATTCATGCTCCATTATCTCACAACACACAATATTATATACAGTGTAAATCATAAAATTCTTCCAAAATTAACACATCGTTGTATGTGTAAAATCATATCAAATTGAGATATTTAACTAAAATTGTAAGGTCAGTTTTATAAGACTAAAACATTAATCTGCTCAAACATCAAAATAAATAATAACTGATACATTTCAAATATTGCGGAGGCCATACATGTAGTCTCGCTTCAAGCAACTGTGACCTTTTCCGGGGACCTTTTATATATGGCTTGAACCCCCTCTTAATTAAATCTTAATCAAAACTTGAAGTTACATGTATATTATAATCTCCTTATCTACTATCAATTATATGAAATTAGTTTCATGTAAAATGACATATATGACCCTGCCCCTGCCATATTCGCATTAATGCACTTCGACTTTATATCATAAGTGCTATTGATTCCTTATATAAGGAAGATGTCTGTTTTATGGCTTTTTGTTCTCTCTATTTTCTTTTGTTCTTGTATCTCCTTTTATTCCACAGAGTCGTTGTTCTTGCTTATTGATACTTTCATATTTATGCCATTACAGATCATTATCATCCCTTAAATGTCACTATGGTTTCCTGTCTGTTAAAGGAAACAAAGTACATATGTATAAAGAAACAAACAATGCTATACAAGTCTTACATAAAACAAATCATTACAGAATTACATTACAGGTACAGAGTTTCTCTCTATTTTGTTTTGCATTTTAAGCATTACATGTGACTAAAATACAAAAATAATTTCAGCAAATCCTACTTTTTATTTACATTGCTGTAGTTACAGTTGTTACTCACTCAAACACTCACTAAAGACTTAGTTACCAACACACTGGGAATGTAATTATGTTTAATACACATGGACTGTCCTTTTAAGTTAAATATAGTCTGTCCCTTTAACATAATAGTTTAACATAGACTGTCCCTCATTAACCTAGACTCACTATCTAATGAGATAGTTTAACATAGACTATCTCTTATTAAACATATGCTGTCCCTTTAATAATAGTTTAACATAGACCATCCCTTGTTAAGCAGACTGTCCCTTTAACAAGAAAGTTTAACATAGATTGTGTCCTTTTTTAAAAATGGACTGTCGCTTAAACAAGATAGTTTGACATAGACTGTCCCTTAACAAGATAGTTTAACATAGACTGTCCCTTAACAAGATAGTTTAACATAGACTGTCCCTTTAACAAGATAGTTTAACATAGACTGTCCCTTTAACAAGATAGTTAACACAGACTGTCCCTTAACAAGATAGTTTAACATAGACTGTCCCTTAACAAGATAGTTTAACATAGACTGTCCCTTTAACAAGATAGTTTAACATAGACTATCCCTTTAACAAGATGGTTTAACATAGACTGTACCTTTAACAAGATAGTTTAACATAGACTGTCCCTTAACAAGATAGTTTAACATAGACTGTCCCTTAACAAGATAGTTTAACATAGACTGTCCCTTAACAAGATAGTTTAACATAGACTGTCCCTTAACAAGATAGTTTAACATAGACTGTCCCTTTAACAAGAAAGTTTAACATAGACTATCCCTTTAACAAGATAGTTTAACATAGACTGTCCCTTTAACAAGATAGTTTAACATAGACTGTCCCTTTAACAAGATAGTTTAACATAGACTGTACCTTTAACAAGATAGTTTAACACTGATTGACTGTCGGTTTAAATATTTTGCACCAGGTAACCAGTTCATCTCAAGTGTATTGTGATTGTGTTTTAAATAAAAGACAATAAGTTTCTTTTAGCAAACAATAGCACTCAAGATGGCTATAAAAGCTATATAGGAACCACTCAAAACTCACACATTATAAGGCCCTAATAAAAGTAGCCTATCGACTTGGACTGACATTTCTGTTGCTTCTACTGAAAACTGAAATGTCAACCTACAACCACTAAATGAAATGAAATTATTGTTTTCATTCTTTATCTATTGATTGCATATATGTCTTGCAAAATCAACACTTTCACATCATATTTTAAAACATGAGATCTTCTTAGATGTAACTCACAACCAAATTAGTATACTTGTGATCCTTTACTAGATCAATTTTTTTTATTTCATGTACATTATTAATATGGTGTTGAATCATGCATAAAATCTTGAAATAGTAATTGCACTCAGAAATATGTGTATAATAAATACCATGCTTATACAAAAATACAATTCTAAAATGATAAAGATTTAAAATATGTAACATGCAACAATATTGATCACTTAGGGATGTTGCCCAAACATGAACATTTGTGGAGGTTATTTTGTACACCCCCTCCACCATATAATGGATATTGCATGTTAATTCTATCAAATGTTCTGAAGGGGTCATCTCATAATTCCATTACTTATCCTCAATTTATTTCATTTTTACAAAATGAGTTACATTATAGTTCAACCCCTCCCCTCTTCCCCATCACTCAAGTTTGAAATGTTTATTTACTAAATACCCCAAAGATAATATGTTTTCCCAACCTACATGTACCCCATGTAATATTTGGATACCATCCATTCATAGTATATCCCTTTATACTGAATAAATATATTTATCCAATACTTAGTAGTGTTAAACGTTAATAATATATGGTAATATAATTGATATCCATCTATATTAATAAATATCTCCCATTTATCTCCCCTCATCAATCCTTGGAAATTTCGGTCAGTGCATTTATACATACAGTATAATTAACCCTCATCTACTTAGTACAGGTAAATCTATTGGATAGATATTAATTTCATATACACTGTTAAATTTTAGAGTTTTAAAAAACAATAAATATTAAAAATTTAAAATTGAGATAAAATATTCATGTTTTGATTGTAATTATTACACTAGTGTTCCATAATATTAAAGTCTTAATTGATCCACATAATCTACTTAGTACAGGATAAATCAGTTATTTAATGCTGAAGGAAAATACAATCTACTTGAGGAACCGAGGGTAGATATATTGTATTTTCCAAGGGATATACTCTGTATCCTAAACCTCCCATCAAAAAATCCTCAAATATACATTTGGTTCAATGGACTGGTTCACAGAACACATCACATCAAATCAATAGCAAACACATAACATAGTACACACATCTAGACAGTTTTGCAGACACAGTCATATATAAGGAAGTGTGGAGGAGTGATGGTGGCCTGTGTAAGGAAAATATTTACAGATATACCTGTCTAGAGTGAACACCATAATATGTTTCCAATGCTAAATTGTGATCACTATTAAAATGAAGGACTCACGGCCCTGTAAATGGGTCAATACAAGATGCAACAGTTCACACAAATTTAATTTTTTTTTTTTGGGGGGGGGGGTTCTATGTGTGAAAAATATTTTGTATATTATTCTCTGTGGACAAATGATGTTTATTAAGACAGGTTTTACTGTAATTTACTATACAATACTGCCCTAAGCAGGATTGGCCCCTAGAGTACATCATCTAAAAATATATAAATTGAATACATATATAACAACAGTTGCTATACACATTCATAGCTTACTGTTGAGGGATCCACTTAAACTTTTATAGAATAAATATTAGCTCATCACTTTAAATGGCCATGCTTCCTATTTCTAAAGATAAAATTAATTAATTGATTTTTCTTTCATTTCATTTAAAAAAAATATGACCAACATGCACATGCATGTTTATTTTTATTTCTAGTTAATTCCCCTCTTTTTGTACAGGTACATGTTTATGGATGTCTTTTATTGATTTTTATATGTCATAAATGTAAATAATGCTACCAATGGTTTACAGGTTGCATTTATTTTTCATACTCATATTCATAATGTTTTTATAAATGGTATATTCATCACCAATTTGAGCTATTTACATAATCTCTGTTTATTCTTAGCAAAATTACAATATTATATTTTGTCTTGTTTTATGCCTCATTATCAATTTTGGAATATGTGTGAACATTTTTTTTCATATCTAATGATCTACACCCAAGCACTACCTTGACTCCCAACCCTATTTGACCTTGACCCTCTGCGACCTTGTGAACTTGGCCCTGGAGCTCTTCTTTGACCTTGACCTTTGCCTTGACTTTTACTTTGGCCTTGACCTTTCCCTTGACCCTGGCCTTTTCCATTAGTCTTTTTCTTGTCTAGATCTTCATCAGATGGTACTCTAGGACTGCAAAACTTTATAAAAAGTCCCTGGAAAAATATGCAAAGCCCTCTAAAATAAGTTTCATGTTATACAACTACACTGCCAATCTCAAATAGAACTATACAGTGCTATTTTTGAAAGAGGGCAGGACAGCGCTGTTAAACAGTACTGCACTATGCTGTTCAAAGCAGTACTGTACAGCACTCATACGTCACAGATATACGTCAAATATATATACAATAGGTCCATGTCACTTGTACATAAAAAATAGTTTGATGATGTATATGAGATAAACTACAAGTCCAACTGCTGCCAAAGCTACTGCCCACCAATACTGTGTCAACCATTCTATGGTTATACTCACCATTATAACTACAAGTCCAATTGCTGCCAAAGCTACTGCCCACCAATACTGTGTCAACCATTCTATGGTTATACTCACCATTATAACTACAAGTCCAACTGCTGCCAAAGCTACAGTCCACCAATACTGTGTCAACCATTCTATGGTTATACTCACCATTATAACTACAAGTCCAACTGCTGCCAAAGCTACTGCCCACCAATACTGCGTCAGCCATTCTATGGTTATACTCACCATTATAACTACAAGTCCAACTGCTGCCAAAGCTACTGCCCACCAATACTGTGTCAACCATTCTATGGTTATACTCACCATTATAACTACAAGTCCAACTGCTGCCAAAGCTACTGTCCACCAATACTGTGTCAACCATTCTATGGTTATACTCACCATTATAACTACAAGTCCAACTGCTGCCAAAGCTACTGCCCACCAATACTGTGTCAACCATTCCTTCATTGACTCAATCCCCTCACTTGTGAACAGAAAGTTCTTCAATGTATTCAGTGGCCCACTTGGATCAACCTGCAGTAGATTCATACATTAAAGAATCCATACTGGGGAATATAGGAATGGGCACCAAATATGGTTAAAGCCTATAAAATCATCTAAAAGAAATTCGCACATTTTTTAGAATTTAGAGAAAACTTCTGCAGCGTTACACTATTTGCCTCATTCTGTAACAAAAATATGCCTAAAATGACTGTAAATCTCACCTCTCTGCACTTGGAGAAGACATCACAGTAACCCTGGTAATTGTAGCAAGCTGACCCTGGACGTGACATTAGATCTGGTACTACATAAGGCGCATCATTCCATTCATGTGATGACCTGAAAGTCAAGGATATGAGAGAGTCTTACATTAAGTCTCTGGTTCGTTGTCCTTACTCTCCAACAATAGGAGGAAGTTCACAATGGACAGGTAGATTATTGGGAAATACCTTTATTATGATGCATGTTATATCCAGAAAAATGGTCTAATAACATGACAGTAGGTTGACAAGATACACAGTTACAAATACCACACTTTGAAGAGCATTCAAATCTTGGCACAAGTCTGTTCTTGTGTCTGTGACAATTTCGAAAGAATAAGCATTTTTTCTGAAACTATAGTAACAAAATTCATGTAGTGCCCAACCAGCTACCAGCCTGGACACATGCACAGCAGCACGAATATGACAATATAGTACTTTTTCAACGTGCGCTAAAAACAGAGAATGACTCACTTGCAGGGTGATGTTTCGCCAGCCTCTTTACAACACAGCTGACATAACTTCACATCTGTCCAATCATCTGCTACACTGGGGTTGCATTGGCACGATTCCAGACCATAAGCAAGGCAGATGGAGCCACTGCATTCACCAATGTAGCAGACGGACTCATCATCGCAGATTGTACGATTCGGTTTGTGAGGTGAAAGTGGACAGCTAGCACTAGACCCAGTGGAAAAGTTCAGGAGAAATTATATCATAATATAAATGAATATAACTTTACATACAATGCATCGATTTTAAAAGTCTTATAATTGAGACAACATTAAAAAGCGATTACTTTACCTTAAAAATAGAATAAATGTTTTAAAATTTTTTAAATGTGAATTTTTTTAAGTCATACAAAGTTCAGTATCTTAATAATATTGCAGTACAATTGGAGTCAATGGAAGGAGAAAATGGGACAGAAAAAATGTTATCAGGAGGTGTTAGATAAGCCAGTGATTTGGATATATAATTTTTACTGCAGTTCTGTATATTAAAGTTATGTTTCCATCATAAGAATGTTTAATTTATCAAGGATATAGGCATACAGCGCCGTGTTTACAGGAGGTCTCGTCACGACATGTGAAGTTAGCAGCAGTGGGGATAATGTCACATGTAGCATTACAGCATGGGCCCTGACTTGGACTGAAGTACAAGAAATATGATGCTTTAATCTTTTTTACATTATATTATCTAAAATAATGAATTATAAAGAAGCACATGTAAGATTATCATGGTAAGTCACGCCTTCTCTCCATCTCTGTTTTTCTGGACAAATAAGGTGCAACAGTGAGCGACCAAGCATGTCAGAATGTAATAAGCTATGATTATAATTCATAAAGACTATAGACAAAATACAAATTGATATGACCTACATTCGATATATTTGGGATGATGCTGTAAAACAGCTAATTTACACTTGCAATTTTCATGAATTTGGATTTCCTTGAAATTTGCAATATGATTAAATTCACAATTATAGAATTCAGTCAATTGAAATATTTGGTATAATAATTTAATTCTGACATCCAAAATTCACTACTAATATGTATTAAGTCAATTTCTGAATTTGAGTGATTTTTTATTCGATAAATCATGGAATTCGAAAGTACTCACTTTTATTATTTGGGAGAAGTCACACATTTTTGCACTTCAAAGCAAATGATCTCACTATTTCAAAAGATATTTTACAGATCTTTTGGAGATATTTTATTTGGATTTCTTATATTAAACACTGTATATGATAAACAAACCTGCAGGTTGCATTGGGTTTTAAAGTACAAGGGGTCTCTGTGGGAGATAGAGAATTAGCATTCAAGCGTTGTGGGTTGCAGCAGATCTCTGTACATTCATCGTCCCATCCACAGTCACACTCCTCACCGGGTTCAACAACATCATTGCCACATATGGACCCTGTGGGCTCTGTGAATAAATCAAATAATTACCCCTTTATCATGACATAAAAATAGATTGGGTCTCTTTATGAATCTGGATTTTATTTTTTCTATTTTAATTAGATACTAGTTCAATTTACTATGCTTGGTATTGTTTCTTATTGATGTTAGGACGATGTTGAAGTCAAGCCCATAGTCACACTGTACATGATTCAAGTCTGTCCCCACAAACATTGACAGACACTGACTGCCAAACACCAACCACCGAACACCATCCAAAATAAGGGTGGTGACATAATGAGATATTTATTCTTCTCAAAAATAAAGACAAATACAGTATTATCAAGGGCAACAAAAACGAATAGGAAAATAAATAACTTATTATTATGCATCCTACCGATAAAACATCCAGTTGCAGACCTGGCCTTGACAGCCATGACATCCCCCATATTAGTTCTACTACATGATGAGAACTTGTTATTGTTGCTTTTGTCACCAGATGTCGCACGTGCATACATAATATAGTTCCCACTGTCACCACCAGGGGTACAAGATGCTGTTCCATCTGGGTCGTGCTGAAAAATATTACTAAATGTACAAATTGACCTGGATGGAGTCTAGGCTATAATTTTATACAGCCTATAAAAGGGGGAATAATATTCACTTTTAAGCTAAGTGTAACAGTGATAAGGATTTATTGTAAATTTATTGTAAATTATTGTTTAGTTCCAAAATGCTAGGTTATCCCTGATGGAATATGTATCAGTTTTGCCACATTATTCAGACAGCCTCATTTCCCACGAGCATATAATAGAAAGGTTCTCTGTTAATGAAATTACAAGCTTTTCTCTTGACTAATTGCTCGTAAACCGAGTGTGTCAATCTGCCTGTTGTGTGCCTAAGTGCCTTAGTACGAGAATTCACTTCATTACTTGTTGATTCCATTCAAATTCTTTGGCATACTCGTTAAATCTCACCCCCAAAGACCCCTTAGAAAAACATCTCCTCCTTTTACATTTTAATGATGCAATTCTTTCTGATTAGACAATCTGATTGGATATCAGCAAGATAAAAAAAATGTATAGTAATAAATAAAAATAGGGTTGATGAAGTCGACTTTTCACAAACGCGTAATAATTCTACTTACTGGGGACCCCATGTTATGGCCAATTTCATGGGCAAATGTAACAACAGAAACCAAAGAGGGTACATCTTTCCCATAATTCAACACTGTCACCAGTCCAGTATTTAAGCTCTTTCCATTTCCCTTGAATATCTGAAAATTAAAGCAGACACTTTGGATTTGTGTCAGGAATAAATTCTGAATTATGCACTCTATTTGATTTTTGTTCAACCTAACACAATAAAAAATAAATAATAATGTTAGAGAAGGCATTGATATGCAAAACATTACCACATGACATTTGTTACAGATGCAGATGTCCAAACAACAAATGCTGACTTCTAAACACCAAACACCAACCACCTTACGCCAACTGATGAATTCTTGGAGACAATACTGATCTCTCCACTTCTGGTGGTGACAAATGTTTAAAAGTGAAAGATAGTTAACTGTTTTTTGGACAATCTAATCCAACTTCTTATAGGCCTATTTAACTTAACAGACTTTCTATAAGTCCATAGTAAGAAAAGTATAATTTACCAGCTCAATGTCTCTAATAGTTTGATTAATGTACTGCGCCTTAATATCTGCTAGTTATCGCAAAATAGGTGCTATGTTCTAAGTATGATAAACGAGTATGTCCCGTCTTGCTTTAATCTGCCCATGTCAAAGCGACATAGTCAAAAAAATTCAATAAAGAAGGCTGAAAATGACACAAGGACGCGTTTAGATTTCTACTGTTGATTTTACATTGGATTAGATATCTGAATGAAGCATTTCTGTATTATACTTTCCAATTCAATATACTGTTCACATAATTGTCAATTTGAGGATGGTTATAACTCGTAATGTCTCATTTAGATTAAATTAATCAATTTAGTACATTGAGATTGGAATAAAAAATGATTCCATGATTGATCATTATAACTTGAATGACATTGTGCAATGATTATGATTTGATTTTAACTTTCATGCAATAAATTATATCTAACATGCAATTTGACAAAGGAAGATTAATATTTAATGATACATACCCCGTATTTCTCGCATACACCCCCTGCATTCACTGTATCCCCAGTCCACGCAAGACCAAGAGTACCACCCTCAAAGTCACGATAAGTGAACATAAAGCCAAGACAAAAATCGTCAAAGTTATCCTCAGAAAACAGTTCCAGGTAGCTCTCAACGCCAAAGTTGCCGTTGAACTTATAGCCATCTGCTGTTGGATCTGAGTGAATCTTGATCTTTTTGATGATAAACCTAATGTTGTCAGCTGAACCATCCCCATCAAAATCTACAATCATAATCCAAAAGGTAAAACATGTCTAAGGAAAAATAATAAAAGGCTAAAACATGCAAAATGTCATCACCTGCCATTTGTTACAGAAGATGACCACCGAATGCTGTTATAGATGCCAAACCCCAATCGATATACTATAGGACTTAACTGTGTCCACATGTCAAAGAAATACTATAAAAGGCAATCTTCAAATTATAAATTATAATATTGATCAATAAGAGAAAAGATGTGGTTTCCTAAAAATGTTCATCTACACTAAGTTCAATTCTGCAAGGAAATAATAATAAAGCCCGTTGATAGCTCTAAAAGGCAAATTCACTTTAATGGTACAAAAGTAACTCCACTAAAAGATTTCAATGGTGAATTACCAATTTGTATAGTTATTTCCAAATTATTCAGAAATCAGTGTATACTGAATCAAGGCATAAATGGTTTCTCATAAAATCATATTTCCAAATGTTTAACAATGATGCAATAAAGATGGTATAATGCCTACCTAAATTGCCATGAAATGATAAATAATTTATGAGGTGAAATAACCTTACCATTATTGGAAGGAGAAATACTATTCAATGCAATAAAATTGAGTTAAACACTTCATCTGCATAGATATTTCCTATTGCTTATTTAGAAACAAGATTAACTTTGACATTTTCAAACATATTACATCCAAAATAGAGTTGACTTGGGGTTGAGATGACCTGTCACCATGTACTAATAAGTAAGCATAGCTCTAAATATAGAAATTCAATATCCCACAATTTAAATGAAAAGTATATCAACGAAACCTTAATATAAAAAATATATATAAGTATAAGTGTTATAATAAAAACACTTAAATTCATAGATGATAATAAATAAATAGATTATATAAGGCATTAACATGAAAAAATGTCACCACCAGTTGAACATTGGATATTATAAGAATTTGTTACAGACACTGAACTGTGCATGCCAAACACTCAGGCCTGTCAAAAAATGTCAAGGCAAATGCGTGACATATACGGAATCCCATAAAATTTCCGAACAAAATGCGTTCGTTTTTCTTCGGCGTTCGTTTTTTTGATGTACAGTATAGGCATTCATTTTTTGAAGTTCTACAGAAATATGCATATTTGCGTGACATATTCTGTCACGCGAAACAAGCTGGCATGACTTCAATTTCTTCAGCAAATGGGTGACAAATATGCAAATTGCGGGACAGTTGGATGGCCTGAACACTGTCAACAAAAAAGTTAGAGACTATAACAATCAACCACATCTGGTGGAGACATACGAAAACAAGTTGTATAACAAATAATGAATAAAGTCATACCGACAATTCTGTATATGTCTATTACACCCTGTACATGTTGGGTAAGTTGCTCGATGACCGTCTCTTCATTGTTTCCATGAAACTGATAAAATAGATGGTCCGCCTGTAAATAGAGCTCACATGTCGTTTTTTCGGGGACAATTTCACGTTTTTTCCTGGTATTAGATCTCGGTGATTCATTAAACTGTTTTGAGTATTTATTCAATGTTGATTGTCCAAATAACATATTATCTTGGAATTTTTTATAAATGTTATCCTCATTGAATTTTGATCTAGTATGATTGAGATTCTCGTGCAGCTTCGATCTGAGATGATTGGACAGACATAATGAATCATTCAGATTAAACGTCACGTCAGAGTATTTATATATAATTGAGTGAAAGTTTCTTGATTCTTTAAAGTGTTGAGCAGAGTGTTCTATGGAGTATTGTTCTCCCAAGGATAATTGTTCATTAGTGTACGATGTACGTTCATCCCCTGTGTCACGTTTACCCCCTGTGTCGTGGTTAGGTATATTAATCTTCCCAGTGAAGACTCCGTTGGATGAGATCGTACCATGGACAATGGAATGTGAATCATCTGAAATGAAATAAAATATTGTTTAAAAGAGGAACAGTTCACATCCATTGAAGAACAAGACAAAAGTACACAATGATAAATATTATACTCTTTTATTGAAAGAATTAGAAATGGTCATTAAGTGATTTCCCCAGCATGCCCAAAACCTTATCAGATCTTGGTACTTGTCTGTGCTTGCATCTATAACAAGGCATTAACATTCAAAATGTCAACATTTGCCATTTGTTACAGATCTATGCTGAATGCCGGACACCAACTGCCGACCACTGTCCAAAAAAATTGTAGACTATAAATATTTGTCACTTCTTCTGGTGATGACATAATAATTTAAAGTCCATGTTTTCCTTGAATTTCAAAGATATGATTTATGTGGGCCTGCCTGGTTACCCAGACAGATGCGGTCCATCAGCACAAACAACAACAAGATTCAGCACATTTAAAGAGGTAGCTCTTATAAGGACAAATCATGACACCAAATCAGCCATGATGAATGCATCTCACTTCATTGAATACATTCACCACCAATCAGTAAACATGGAGAGCTATAATAAGGGTGAACAGACTTGATGCCTCATGAAAATAAAATTAAGATCGCTGACTTTGATGTAGATCATCAATCTTCCCCTAATCCATCTTATTAACCTTCCTCACCCTAATCATTGATATAAACATCCTTAGAGAAAAGCAATATGGGAGTAATATCTTAAAATTAAAAATAAAGGGCAAAATAGTGGAATCAGCAAAGAATTGAGAAAATGGAAGCAAATGGTCATTTGTGAACCAAAAATAACACAGAAATTGTACAACATTGTACAGGACCACAAATATGTTGTAGACATCTTCAGATAAAAGGTCCATGTGCAGTATGGCAAGTGATTTTAGACGGTCATATCTTTCACCATGAGTATTTTCTGGGTATAAATACTGTAGTGGTTTTTATCAAAACAATATGTTTTCTTTGAATGATAGTAAAATATCAATCCCACTCTCTGAAAAATTATGGATTAGAACCCCACCATGTCACTTTTTTAAAAATGTAAGCCTTATTTTCTAAAAAGAGGATCTTGTTTTTCTCAATTTAAATGTCTCAAAAGTTTCTTCCACACTATATCAATAACTTCTGAAAAGGGGATGGGTATTGAAATGCGATAAAGTTAAAAAACACATTTTCCATGTTATTTTACCATAGGGAAAACTCATGCTATCCATTGTTTTCAGCATAATTTTGGTCATAGAAAATTGATATCTTCAAAACTAAGACTTTCAATACCATTCTACTTTTGAAGATGTTTTAGACCCCTTGTTGAATAATGTTTTCACGCAATAAAAATCAGAAAAAGAAGATCCTTTTTTGAGCAAATAAGTTCAATATTTTGAAAAAAGTGTTGATGTGGGGTCCCTATTTATAATTTTCCGAATTGTTCGATTGATATTTTTATCATCACGGGGACTTCACTTGAAAGAAAACATATTGTTTTAATAAAACCACTGTATTTATGCCAAGAAATTACCCATGGTGAAAGATATGACCGTCTAAAATCACTTGCCATACTGCACATGGACCTTAGTTTATTCTATTTTAGACATAATCACCATTAAAAGTACTCATCATGCTCCTCAAACATCATAATTATTAAATAGACTTTTGTATAATATCCATTTATAGCCGATAAATCCACCATATTATTTTATCATGTATAATTTCCATGAAACATGTAATAGACTTATCAAAGGTCTTTAGGGGTGTAACATTTTCAGAAAAATCAATGGCCTGAATATCTTCGTGAACAAATTAAAATGAAGCCTAAATATAGAACAGATAACTATTTTTAGCTTTAGTTATTAGCCAAAAATTCCTAATTTCTTTGTTCTTGTAGTTCAGTATATCTGTATATCCAAACACCTCTCTAATCTGAACACCTTTCAATATGAGCACTTTTTTAGTCTCATTTGGAGTTGAATTGACCTTTAATATTTATAGAGAATGTGTTGAACTGTGTCAGTGAATACCCAAATACTGCAAATGCAAAAACCTTGAAATGTGAACACCTTGATATGTAAACACCTTGAAATGTGAAAACCCTGAAATGTGAACACCTTGAAATGTGAAAACCTCAAAATGTGAACACCTTGAAATGTGAGCACCTTGAAATGTGAACACCTGAGCAGGGGTTTCACTAGAATTTCTCACAATAGGCTAAATTAATGAAAACAAAAGGAAAAATTAATGGAAATCATAAATTTAAGATTGAAAAGTTGAAAAGTCCCTAAAAACAAAAGGCGATTTTGTGAAAACAACTAGTGATAATTGCATGCTACTAATTATTTGATGTAAATGTATTGGTGATTGAGAAGAAAGAAAATAATAAATACTGGCGTAAACTCTAAAAAATGTACAAGTATTTCCGGACAAGGTTAAAAGATTTGGGTCCCCCAAGACATATAATGGCCCGTCCCTAACTGCCAATATATCTAAGCGCTATATTCCCCAACAGGGATCAAAATTGCCATAAATTATTTCTAATCTTCAGAAATCTGCCATAATTGAGATTTATTACACCACGCATTTGAAAGCGCTATGTTACTGAGACATTGGCGCTACGGATATAATAAAGGCGAAACACTAGACGATATATAGCCATCATTTCCTTTGACCAATATTGACCAATGAGACTTATTCTATCAAGCTCATTATTCACGCTACATTCCCTGACACGGTAATTAAACAGTAGATGAATAGGTCTCCAAGTCTGCCAATATAAAAGGGCTAAATGTCATCATTTTCAATATATTGTAATCAATAAAAGAGGGGAAACATGGGAATTCTCTCTCTCTCTCTCAAGAGTACAATTAGCTACTAAGATGGACACTCTGATTTGTAAAATACACCTGCATGACACATATACAGGTATTAATGCAGCAGATGGGTGAAGATATATCAAGCATGTATCTCTTTGATGCAGTATAAGGTCTAAGGTTCTTATTATAACACATTCACCTTGGTAATCTCATACAACTTATTCTGGGACCTCTTATCTTAAGTGAACTTATTCTAGGAATTTAATCATTTCAAGACAAAATAAGAAGTCTCATTCTAAGACTACACCATCCCTAGTAAAACTTTTACCTAAGATAACTTATCCCTCAGACAACATATCCCTAAGACGACTTATCCCTTAGACAACTTATCCCTTAAACAACTTATCCCTGACAAAACCTGTCCTTTAAACAACTTATCCCAAACACAAATTCTCCCTTGAAAACTTATCCCTAGCACAACATATCCCTACAAAAAACATATCCCAAACACAACTTATTCCTAACTTATCCCTAACATAACTTATTCCTAAGACAGCTCATCCCAAAATAACTGCTTGCAAAGAACTTATTTCAAGTTTGCTGAACCATAATGCTGAAACAACATCATCAAGGAAAACATATTCCATGTAAAGGGATTCACCATTCCCAAGTTCCCCTGTTTTGCCAATACAAGAGAAAGCACAGACTTAAAAAAATTCAGAATCCAACGAAAAAACGATTAAGCACAGCATTGTACCTTATTAGCAAAGTTTTATTTGATAGAACAAGATATTGGAAAGTAATCATAGAGATACTTATAGACTTGATAGAATCATAAATAGTCATGAGCAAACAAATGAGACGCATTGATTCCCGCTTCAATTAATGCAATCTCTCAACAGTTAATGTGATTTGAATCGACAGTTAAAGAGTGTGATAAGTTGGAACACTCTGACTCTATTGAATCTCCAGGTCTACGTGTTGATATATCATTGCATTGTAAACTGGTGCCAAAGACACAATTATGCAATAGATACTCTAATGGACTTTTGCAAATGTTATCTTCCATTACATTGTTTAACATTTTTGTAACAATGGAGAAATCAATTCACTCAAGTTCATTTTATTGTAAGTGACTTTGTTAAGTGGTTTTAGTTCATATTAATATCTCCAACAAGTGTAATGATGTTTTCCTATATAATTGGTCTCCAACGATACCTCATTATGATACATATTTCCATATTTGGCTCATAATTCGATTCACAATTAAATTCATGTTTCGGGAGAAGTAGTTGGTAAAATCGTAAAATGTTTTCTTTTTACTAAAGAACAAAATTCATAGTTTTTGTCAAATGTTTTGAGTGAGATCTACGAGATCTGCGAAATGAGTTAAACTGAATCAAGTTTGAAATCCCGTCTTGAATTTCCAATTTGAAGTTTTCATAATTGATCAGTAAATGATACTTACATATATCATATTGCTTAAATCAAACACTACAAAATGAGCCAGCATTACCCACACTTTGAAGTCTTGCTTCAAGTCACTGGACTCCTCCCCCCCCCCTATCTACTTCACCTTGTGGGGGTGTTGTGCTAAATGGGGGGTGGGGGTCACAAGGGCTTGTAACTAGACTATTCGATGGATCAAGGGACTCATACCCTATGTATACACATACCTAGTGATGTACCCCTATATGCTATATTGGGCTGGAAGAATGTTGGCCCATTTGAGTTCTCAATTGTAAGATCCTCACTGTAAACTGTTGAGTCGGGTTCTAAATGAAGTCGGAAATCCCTGGAAATAAAGCAAAATTGTCTTCATTAGTGACACAGTAAAACCTGTCAAATTGAACACCTCTATAAGTAGAACACATTTGTAAGTGGAACAACTGTGTAAGTGGAACACTTTTCACAGTCCTGTTACCCATTGACTTAATGTTAATTGAACCTCTATAAGTTGAGAATTGAGGATCCTTTTGGCAGAACCAAGAGTGTTCCACTAACACAGGTTTTACTATATAGTTCAACATGATCCAAACATGATGCAATTGGTTATATCCATCAGTTCCCCATCTTTCCTCTTTCTTGTCCTATATCACCCACTCTTTCCTCCATCAAGATTGAGGAAGATAATTAACTATATCACGCGTGTATATGGAAAAAAAGGTCACTAAAGCATGGTAAAGCAAGATTATGAGATCCAATTGATACCTGCATGCAAAGAACCCATTACAAGTTCGCTGAACCATAATGCTGAAACAACATCATCAACGAAAACATATTTCACCATAGAGATTCATCATGCCCAATTTCCCCTGTTTTGCCAAGAGAAAGGACAGACTAATTAGAGATATCTGAATGTAAGACATATTTGTGGCAATGCAGCCGCAATTCTTCTCTCTTGCCCAGAAAAATAACATGGGATCCAAAACCAAACTAATGAAAAGGTATTCTATACTAAGAGAAAGGAACAGATCTAAATGCAAGGGATGTATCATTTGAAGTTCAATGAACCTAGATGGAGAACAACAGATCAATTAAGAAGATACCGAATATGAGAAGATAGCATATTACAAGGAGAATACAAGGAGATAACTGTTATTACTTACTTGTATATCATAAAGTGATATATTTATAGCTATTTTTAATCCCACAATAATAAGAATGTAATCTATAATGCACAACTGAGAGTTAAATGAATAAATCTTTTCAAATTGAGTAAACAAGTGAAGTGAAACCTGTATATCTGAACACCTAATCCAAACACCTTGAAATGCAAACACCTTGAAATGTGAACACCTGCTAATCCAAACACTTTTGGCTGGTCCCATTGGAGGCATTTGGATAAGACAAGTGTTTTACTCTCTGTATTGTTGTAAAAATATGTCATAATTCTTCAGAGGAAAATGAGAAATCAGAAATGACTAAAATAGATGGGCATTCTAAATTGTAAGAGAATGCCAAAAAATCAGGTAGCCCATTTTTATTATGGAACAAATGGTTATCAAGATTAAATCTAGTAATACTTCCCAAATAATCCTGGCTGGTATAATTACAGTTTACCTGTTGACCATGAGACAATAAAATCCAAGTGAAACTCTGAACTATTGAAGATTGTGAAATTGTTTTTTCCTTGAAATTCTTGACAAAACAGTCCTGTAAAATCTGTCAAAAACCTCCTTTCAAATTAAACTGATTATGATTCAAACCTCTCATGTAAACTGATATTAGATAGCCAAGAATGATTTGGAAGGTAATTTTCTCTATATTTATGTTTTTACTGAGAACAATAAAGATAGAAACATTCAATTATAGTTAAAATTCAATTTTTAAATTGTCTTACAGAGTGAACAGATCAGCTTGACCTTGGAATTTCAACACAAGACATCAATTTCACTCCCAAATATGGAAGGACAAAAATAGATCTGTCAATCAAATATCAAACTGAAAAGGGAAACTTAGATGTCTTGACTTAGATTTCTCAGAGAAATGAAGGGTCATAACAATGCTCAATATTTAATGTGTATAAATAAACAGATTAAAAACTACATGTATTTGATAAATATATAATTATAAGGTCAGGTTGACCCATTTCTAATAAACCATTGAAATTCACATTCTGTGTTACTGTTTAGCATAATAAAAGAAAAGAAAATACATTTAACTACCATGAAAATAATACGTACATATATATATATAAATTGATGCAATGCCATATAAAATTCAAAGGTGTTTGATTGAAATAATCTACAGAAAACTGATGAGCATTCAGCTGACTTTTAGTCACAAACCCCACACTGCCGTGTTTGATTATTGACCATAGTAAAACCTGTTTTAGTGAACACCTCTCTCTAGTGAACACTCGTCTCTAGTACACACTCTTCCTCCACACAAACACTACTAACTTCTGTGTAGATTAACTCTCTCTGTAATGAACACCTACCTAATATGAACACCTTTTTGTGGTTCCATAGGTGTTCACTGTATGCAGGTTTTACTGAACTTAATAGGTACTTATTTCAGTACTAATTGGAGTCACATGTTATTTTCAGGGAACACATAATAATTTCAACATAACTTCTTGATATATTATATATTATACAAACCTTCCATGAGCATTGAATTGTAAGTCGACTGCAGATTGTATGGACCTTCTAACTCTGTGATGTTGTCCCTGGATGTCATGGTGATCATATATAACAGGCTCATAGTGACTGATATAGTCAGACAATGGAACACCTGCAATTAAAGTATATAATTAAAGTATATAAAATTATAAACTTATTTAATTTCTGTTTTATTTGTATATTCAAGAATGATTTGTTTCCAGGTCTATGATTGTGCAAATTATATACCAGAATGAACTGAAAATATTTTGGGTTAAGAATGGAAAATCACAATTGGCTGTCATAAAATCTTTCTTGAGCTACTATATATCTATCTAGCATGCTTGAAATCCATTCTTATTGAGATCTACAATGCCTTGAAGTTTAATACATATACCCTGGATTATTGATCACACAGGTTATTTTATTTGAATACTCATAAACATTGTATTTGTAGTATAGTAGTATTATCTCTATTGCGTTTATTAGAGAGTGTGCGTTTAATAGAGATAATACGGTAGATCTCCTAGACTTCCACTAACATGATCATCAGTTCCGACATTGCGAACTATGTTCCTTCCACCTGTAACAATGGCTCTAGAAGGAACATAGTTCGCGAGGTTGAAACTGATGATTGTGTTAGTCAGAGCTGTCAAGTGTCCCGCAAATGGCGGGATTATCCCGCGAATTTGATCAAAATTAGGCTAATTCGCGTGTCCCGCAATGTCCCGCGAAGTCCCGCAAATGTGGCTTTGACCTCCGTGAATTTCCGAAATTGTTGCAATCCCCTATATTGTGATTATCTTATCTTTTACAAGGCATTAACATGACAAAATGTCACCACCTAAAACAATTTGGTCAATTTAAAGCAAGTTGGAAAATACCTTTTGACCTTAAGAAGGTTTGATTTGAACTTCTGAGAACATGTAGATGATTTTGAAAAAAAAATTAGTCAATTTGAAGCAAGTTGAAAAAAGACCTTTTTGACCTTGAGAAGGTCATTGAAGGTCAAATCTAAAGTCAGATTTGAACTTCTCAGAACTTGTAAAAGTCAAATTTGAACTTCTGAAAAGATGTAGATGATTTTGAAAAAAAAATTTGGTCAATTTGAAGCAAGTTGAAAACAGACCTTTTTGACCTTTTTTGACCTTGAGAAGGTCATTAAAGGTCAAATGTCAAATCTAAAGTCATATTTGAATTTCTGAGAACATGTAGATGATTTTGAAAAAAAAATTTAGTCAATTTGAAGCAAGATGAAAAAAGACCTTTTTGACCTTTTTTGACATTGAGAAGGTCATTGAAGGTCAAATGTCAAATCTAAAGTCAGATTTGAATTTCTGAGAACATGTAGATGATTTTGAAAAAAAAATTTAGTCAATTTGAAGCAAGTTGAAAAAAGACCTTTTTGACCTTTTTTGACTTTGAGAAGGTCATTGAAGGTCAAATGTCAAATCTTAAGTCAAATCTAAAGTCAGATTTGAATTTCTGAGAACACGTAGATGATTTTGAAAATTTTTTTTAGTCAATTTGAAGCAAGTTGAAAACAGACCTTTTTGACCTTTTTTTACCTTGAGAAGGTCATTGAAGGTCAAATGTCAAATCTTAAGTCAGATTTGAAGGTCAAATGTCAAATGTAAAGTCAAATCTAATGTCAGATTTGAATTTCTGAGAACATGTAGATGATTTTGAAAAAAAAATTAGTCAATGTGAAGCAAGTTGAAAAAAGACCTTTTTGACCTTGAAAGGTCATTGAAGGTCAAATGTCAAATCTAAAGTCAGATTTGAACTTCTGAGAACATGTAGATGATTTAGAAAAAAATTGAAGTCAGTCTAAACAGTATTTGTTAAGTTATAGGAAGTTGTAAGAAATTGTTACAGACGCCGGACGCCAACCGCCGGACGCCGTCGCAAAAAAAACGGAGACCATAACAATATGTCACCACTTTTTGACCTTTTTTTACCTTGAGAAGGTCATTGAAGGTCAAATGTCAAATCTTAAGTCAGATTTGAAGGTCAAATGTCAAATGTAAAGTCAAATCTAATGTCAGATTTGAATTTCTGAGAACATGTAGATGATTTTGAAAAAAAAATTAGTCAATGTGAAGCAAGTTGAAAAAAGACCTTTTTGACCTTGAAAGGTCATTGAAGGTCAAATGTCAAATCTAAAGTCAGATTTGAACTTCTGAGAACATGTAGATGATTTAGAAAAAAATTGAAGTCAGTCTAAACAGTATTTGTTAAGTTATAGGAAGTTGTAAGAAATTGTTACAGACGCCGGACGCCAACCGCCGGACGCCGTCGCAAAAAAACGGAGACCATAACAATATGTCACCACTTTTTGACCTTTTTTTACCTTGAGAAGGTCATTGAAGGTCAAATGTCAAATCTTAAGTCAGATTTGAAGGTCAAATGTCAAATGTAAAGTCAAATCTAATGTCAGATTTGAATTTCTGAGAACATGTAGATGATTTTGAAAAAAAAATTAGTCAATGTGAAGCAAGTTGAAAAAAGACCTTTTTGACCTTGAAAGGTCATTGAAGGTCAAATGTCAAATCTAAAGTCAGATTTGAACTTCTGAGAACATGTAGATGATTTAGAAAAAAATTGAAGTCAGTCTAAACAGTATTTGTTAAGTTATAGGAAGTTGTAAGAAATTGTTACAGACGCCGGACGCCAACCGCCGGACGCCGTCGCAAAAAAACGGAGACCATAACAATATGTCACCACTTTTGGTGGTGACATAAAAAACGGAGACCATAACAATATGTCACCACTTTTGGTGGTGACATAATAAGAAGCTGAGTTTTTGCACTTTTGAGGAGTAAAGTTTACCTAATTTTAAGTACCTAGCATGCTGTTGTTTGGTATCAAAATAAAGGGGAAAGGTTCAACTTTCATTTTAATTACGAAAATAGGGATGTAGGTCACAAATAGTTCCAACGTTGGCCTTTTTACTACCCGTGTGGCCTTCATCTCAGAACTGAGCAAATATTAGCAAACGCGAGTTACAATAAATGGACGCTGATATCTAGAAAGGGTTTGTAGAAAAACACGGGTACCGGGTAGTAAATCCTCCATGCTGGTTTCAAACTTGGTACCCGGTACCCGGTCAAAACAACGGGAACCCAAAAAACGAAAAATATGAATATATAACATAATAGATTATGAGAAAACGTGTAAGATTTGTTTTGAATTTACAAAAATGTATGTAACATCCTTCAAAATTGAGCTAGAAGCTTCAAATAAAAGCTTCAAATAAAAAGCATATTTTAAGGCTCTTTTCTTCCTCTATCGTCATGGCCATATTTTCGTTGGTTATGGGGGGGGGTGTGATCGCACCATCGCACCCTCTCCTGGCTACGCCTATGACATTGTAAGACATAACAATTTACAATTTAGTGGACATTTTGTCGAAAATTGGGATAACTTAAATTATGATTAATAATCAAAATCTTTTAAATCATTTATTTAAATTAACACACGTCACCTCTCTGCTAAAGCAACGATAGCTATTTACAGGTTTAAATCATAATCAAAACAATTCATGTACCAACATACGAAGTATTGAAAATAGAGTAAGATTGATTTGTCTTGTTTTTCAAATCGTCTTACAATGTCATTGGCGTAGCCCCCCCCCCCCCCCTTCATTACCAATGGAAATATGACCATGATGATAGAGGAAGAAAAGAGCCTTAAAATGCTTTTTATTTGAAGCTTCTAGCTCAATTTTGAAGGAAGTAACATACATTTTTATAATTCAAAGCAAATCTTACACGTTTTCTAATGATCTAATTATGTTGTATATTCGTGTATTACATACCTAGCGAAGCATTTGTATGGAAGTCAATGGGAAAGTTAGCGAGCTATATCCACCGATATTGCCCGATTACCCCGATATAGCCCGCTTACCTCGTTTTGATATTAGATTTCTTTAATAACCATGATAATATCATGACGTCACGTCATTGATACAAAGTAACCATGGGAACAAAGGCATGTAATACATCAGTTATGTCACTATGACGTGAAATATGCCTTCGTTCTTGCCCAAATATAGAGCCTCCCAAGGTCGGCCTATATTGGGAGAACTCAGGCATATTTCACGTCATAGTGACATAACCTCTAAATATTTCGTTTTTTGGGTACCCATTTTTTTCGACCGGGTACCAAGTTTGAACCCAGCATGGAGGATTTACTACCCAGTACCCGTTTTTTTCTACAAACTCTATCTAGAAAAGTAACCTAATTTCCTATAATTTGATGTAGATTAATCGAACCCCTATATCATGGGCTTTCAATTGAAAGCCCATGCCTACAGTATATGAATAGGTACATTTTAATATACAGTAAAACCTGTCCGATGGAATACCTCTCTGTAAGGAAAACCTATGAACAAGGAATGCTTTTCAAAAGAACCGAATATTTTTCCATTGACTTGCATGTTAATGGACCCTCTCTGTAGGGAAAACCTGTGAACAGGGAACAAGGAACACTATTTTGGGGCAATATATGAAAATTCACCTGTGAACAAGGAATTTTGAATATTGGTGACACTGTATATTCCATTACTTTTCAGAGGTGTGAAAGTCTTAAGCCAATATCTGAATATAAAAAGCTTGGATTAATATGACTGAGATTAAGATAAGCCAATTGTTGACATGATGTAGCATCCCACCCACTGTTACATGTAATTACCTTGATTTATTTTAAAACTAATACTAATCTGTTTGTTACTTATTATCATGACACCAATTCTTCCTTTCAAAAACCTAATTACATCAAATCAGTTGTGATAATCTAGGGACTGACACAATTGTTTTATGGAGATAACAGATAGTAAGTACATGGTCATGTTGAGCCAAATCTCTTTAAATCTTTTACTGATCCAACTTCCAGATTATAAATGATATAAAATGGGGTTGATGAAACTTGAATTTCAGTTCTTAGCAATATATCTCTACACATCATATCAATGATCTTTGATCAACTAGACATCATCAGACGCTAGAAGCAGCTAAAATCAACATGGGGAGAATGTAACCAAGTATGGAGTCGGCATTTGTACAATCAATCAGTATATATACAAATATGCTTATTCGGCAATTTTGAGTTTGCTGAAAGTGCGGCCCCTCT